TACTCATGCACTTGCTTTATTACTAACTCAAAACAAATGATTCAGCGAAGAGACTCTTTTCAACGAATTTATCATCAAGCTGTACAATCGTATATATATGGTTTTTAAGAACTTTCTCTGCTGCATCTCTGAGAATAGCCTTTACTAGTTGACCATTACTGTTCAATAACCTGAAGAACAAGATCCCGCTGTTGACCAACTCTATGTGTGTTTATCAATTCACCTGCTCGTGTAGAGCTAGGTATATCGGTCGCTCGACTCGAGTTTTGTCTAAGAGGGTGCAAGAACACTATCCTGCGTGGTTACGAAAAGGTGGAAGTGGAGCAATAAGAAGCGCGGTCATTGATCATCTGGTCGATAATGATCACCCTATCTCTATAGCCTCCGCCTTCAAAGTCATCTACAAGGCAAAGAGTAATTCACCCAAATCCCTACGTACCCGACTCATCTGTATTGCTGAAACTTTGGCCATCGAAACAGAAAAGCCAGATCTGTGTACACAGAAAAAGTTCGTTCAACCCCTCCAACTTTCATGGTCTTAATCCCTCTATGCTAAAGTATGTTAATCCCCAATCATATTTTAGCTCTACCAATTTTTTCATTTTTCCATTTTTTAATTTTTGTGTATTCAATTTGTATACTCTTCCTTATTACGTTAATTGTTACTATTACTACTCTCACTTTTAACTGTCCCCAATAATTATTTCACTTGTTCCATTTGTCATTCTAAATCAATTCCTTTTTACAACATTAAATTCTATGCTATTAAATTTCACACAATATTACGTAACGTTTTTATTTTATTCGATTTGTCTACTAGTCTTATAATTGCACACCCTTTTTCAAGTTCTATCCATCCTATGAATTATTCGATATATGACATTAATTTGTTTTGCCACTTGACATTTAACTACGATTATAATCACAAACATTTTAGTTTTGATTGCATTTCATATTATTATTATTATTAGTATTTTTATTATTTTATGCATTCACACCTTTGACCTAATTCCCACACCGGATATAACTTCTTAAAAACCATATATATATGATTGTACAGCTTGATGATAAATTCGTTGAAAAGAGTCTCTTTGCTGAATCATTTGTTTTGATTTTCTATATGTTACAATGGGAATTTTCCATGATTTATTACTAACTGACAGTAACACCTTTGACCTCCGTTATCAGTTAAAATTGTACATATGAATAAACTCCCCTGAATAACTGTATAACTTTGAAGTGAATTCACGAAAAGAGATCTCCTCGCTGACTCATGTATATCTTAATTATATGTAATGGGAATTCTTGCCAGCTTGAAGAAATTCTTCAAGTGGATTTACATGGCTCCTTCTGTATGCTGAAAACTTGTAAAGTAAAATTAAGATTAGTTAGAATTAGATAGATAACTTTAAGTGGCTTGTTATCATTAAATTTAGGCTAAGTATCTTATCTGCAAGGTATGCTAAAACAGAGCTTCATTTCTCCCCTGCTTAACTATACAAGATGATACTTTGATTAGACACTAGTAACTAGTGTGGTGTGTCTAATCCTTTCTTTGGTGCAGATTGAAGTCTATCAGTCAGGTTTGTACTGTGGCCACCATTCTAGGTAGCTCTCCATCATGGTTCTACATTGATTTAATGATATTAGATAGTTGGAGGCAATCGGTTACAGGAAGCCTTGCCTGACTTAGGTTTCGCGCTAGTTGGCACTCGTCAGCAAGGCGTATCTGCAACCTTGATGGAACTCATGTCCCTTCTGAGATTCGAACCCGCGTCACCCAGTGCTGCAGTCAGAGATGTTACCACTGGTTCCAATGGCTAAATGGTACATGAGATTATGCAAGATGATGTTCAGAAATCTAACGGTGAACATTTCTAACTGTAGGTCCACTCTATCTAGTTCTAAGTAGTTATGAATAGACAGTGTACCTCTGCTGCATTTAATGCTCTTTTGACTTTATTCTTCAGGCACACTCTGTTATAATTTCACTAATGTCATCATCACCCAGAAACTGCAGTTTTAACAACAAGGACTTCTTGGAGCTGTTGCCATAAGAGGTTACCTTGATGGTAAATTCATATTTGTGTCAAGCAACTTCTCTAGATAACCATTTTTCACTGAATAATTCTCTGATAATCTTGAACTCCTCATTAAGAGACAGTCATTTGAAGAGATTCCTTTAGTTCTAGCAACAAAATATTTTACTAGATTGCTTTTATATTTTAAAGATACAAAACTTAAAAAATAAGTATACTAATATATACTATTTCCTGTTGTATCATCCTCGTTCCTAGTAGTAAAGACGTCTCTGAATAAAACATTGTCATTCCTTTATCTCTCCATGGTAAAATTTTATTACAGGATGCACATGATTAAATTTGTCAAAGATGTACATTGCTTCATCGTCATTTTTCATTGCCAAAAAAGTAGCATCCATGTAATGATAATATAATCCCAGTTCTGAAGGAACAGAGGAGATTTGTGTCTCAGGTGGATGATTTTTATCTGGATGCGTTCTGGGGGCTTGATGAGGTGTTGTAACTGCGATGCGTCAATTGTCCTCCTAGACAACGTCTTCAGCGTAAGCTTCAATCTGAAATGAAATTCGAATTCTCAATAGTCGAATGATATAATTGCATATCCTGACAACCCTTGTCGTGATTGGCTGTTAATTTAAATCATTACTGATCCTTTTATTCACTTGGAATTTGACTCTTTGTTATGTGGTTTATTCTTTGTTAATTGATAAATTTGATCTATAGTAATGTGTGTGTCTGTTAAGCGTGAATTCGTCTGAGTATCAAGCATCCAGGAATCCCTTGGTAATTTAGGTGTCTCAACTGTTTAAAATTTCTACATTTTGTCAGTTAAATTTGTTTCCATAGTTATCTACATACAAGAATATGAAAAAATACATATTGTGTCTTTTGATAGCTAGTTTTTGTTCTCTGATTCGGAGTCTAAGGGGACTCCCAATTTTGGCGATGTTGTGCTTATCACAATTCATGGAATTTATTTTGTAGATGGTATTGACTTTGTCTTCTTTCGGTCTGTATACTATTGAATGAAGTGGCTGTGTTGGCTTGTAAACGATACCTATTCTGAATAGCTGTAGTATTCTAGCCGTTATTTTACAAGCATCCTTCAGATTAGGTAGGATGGAATTTTTTGTGGTTTATGATTATTATTGTATTATTATTTCCTTTAATTCCCAGAGGGACGTAGGGCTTCAGCCGCACGTCTCCATTGCGTTCGGTTCTCTGCCAATGATTTCACCTGGCTCCAAGTCTGCCCACACGTTTTCATCTCCTCTTCACATGACCTCCTCCAAGTCACCCTTGGACGACCAACTCCCCGCTTCCCATTCGTGTTCCACTCGAGCAATGGCTTGTCTAGTGATGTCACTTGATGGTTTCCTCAGAGTATGGTCAATCCACCTCCATTTATTCCTGCATATTTGTTGCCCAATTGTTTCCTGCTGGGTTGGTTCGCTCATTACCAGAGATCCCTGTTGCTGATCTTTTCTGGCCGGTCGTCTGATCTTGAGATAAGTATTGAGCGAAGACAGCTGTTGATGAAGGTCTGTAGTTTGTTTGAGGTGCTCTTCATGACGCACCAAGTTCATGAGGATGGTTTCTTTCTGGTATATTGATTTGAGTTTGAACGTTTTCTGATGAATTTGTAGGAGTATCCATTTCCTAATAAACATTTATGTTCTATTCTCCTTAGGGCTAAAGTGAAGCACTGCAGTGTGTTTTAACTCTTTTGAATAATATTTGTGCACAATTCCGTTAGTGTACCGTTGGATTATAGCCGTTGTAATTGAGTATATTGTTTGAATACCTGTATTTCTAGATTTCCTGAATTTGTTCTCTGAATAAGACCATCTAAGAAGGGAATTAAACTGCCTAACTCAGAGAACTCCCTCACATCCAAAGTGTAACTGTTCCAGTGCATGATCCTGCTACAAAAATAATTAGCCTTGAGAAAGACAACGGTGGAAGTAGTTCCATTTTAAAATTTACAAATACAAAAATTATCCTTCACATGTGCAGAAACTTATATGCATAACGATTCAACTGGAGAATAAGAATAACCAACTTCTCTATGTGTTAGTCTTCAGGGGATCCGTTTGATTCCAGTAGGAATTATGTCACGAATCGACATCAACCAATCAGTTAGAGAACGACTGAAGACCAGGGACTACTGGGTAGCTGTTTCGTTCTATTTTGAGATTCATCGGCAGTAAGGACACATTGCCCGACGAGGGATAAACTCCACTACTGTCAGGTTATGAGGCGAGCGGATGGATCAAGTTAGAATCGTGTTTTGTCTTCTCATTGTCTAAATGGGGATTTTCTCTCTTTATTTTTGTGTTTAAGGTTAAAATATTTGTTAGATAGTTTTTTTTCTCATTGAAGTGTTAATTTTCTTCTGAGTACCAATCTAAATCAGAAAATTTTTATTGATCATATTATTGTATATATTGTATATTACTAGTTTGAATAGCTAGCTGGTCATAATTCGAGTGAAGTTGAATTGATTCGCCTCCTTTCGAGTCGATCGATTCAAACCAGGTACACTACTAATGACCTCTGCGTTCAAATGAGCGAAATGGCCGTCCAGTATTTAGATCAACTCGATCTCACTAGCAAGCTTTGCTGTTTGATGTGTGAGTGGTATTCAACTACTCACATCAACCATTCAGTAGTATATATCGTCAGGCGATTATACTGAATTTCTTGATCTCCATTTATGGGTAGTAAGCAGATCACACACATATATATCGTGATCTAAATACTTTGAATTTCTAAAGAGAAATTCTGGGGAAATTTCACCTTTTCCAACTGATGAATTTATTTGTTTCCATTCCCTCGATTCACTTTTAACTTCAAAAATTTTGCTTCCATTTTCAAATTTCTTTTTCATTTGATTTCATGATGTCTCATATAGTTTTTTTTGTCTTCGTTTTTTTCAAAAAAATAATAAATAATTAGATTCAACAAGTGTTGAAGAGATACAGCTTATGATACGTTTAAAAGAAATTATAGATCGACAAAAGATACAAATTCGAGCATTACGTCAGCAGTTAGCTCAAAAACACGTCGATTTAGATGCGGTATGTATATATATCTATATCTACGTATATATTTATTGATTTATTGATTGATATATTTAAAAAGAAGTTTAAAATTACATTTTTTTTGCTTATTCGTATGCATTATTAACAGTGCTAAAAGTGAAGCTTTGAAAAGATATAACTAACCTCAAACTAGAATTAAACGTGGACTAAGTAGTTTATTTTTTTGTTATTAAATGTCCAGAGGCGATCAACAGACAGCTTTAGACCTAAGTTTCGCGCTCGGTGATCCTCGTCAGCAAGGTGTATCTGCAATCTTGAAGGACATCATATCCCTTGTGAGATTCGAACCTGTGTCACCCAGTATTGTAGTGAGAGATGTTACTGCTGAAGTATTCGGGCTCGCGACTGACCTCCTGCGTAAATGTGATGGATACTTTCATTGGACTAGTGTCATGAGTCTAGTCATTCGTTTGGCACAGATACGCCTTGCTGACGAGTGCCAACTAGTACGAAACCTGGATATGTCCAGTTCTTCCTGCCTGTTACCTACAACTATCTAATAACAACAATTCAGAGTGGACCGTGATGGCGATCCACCTAGTGGCATGGTGACCGCATTAGATACTTGACTAATAGGATTCAGTCTGCGCCAAAAAAGACAAGACGTCTGACACTAGTCACTTACTGTACCTAATGTCTAGTCAAAGATTCCTTTTTTTTTCTTCAAATTGAAATCTTTTCAAAATTCGAATCTCGTTATTTATATTTTGAGTTAATTTGCATTTAACGTTGACCATTGATTATGTTTGACAGAAACGCACGGTCCCTGGTGTCATGTCAGCTCCTAGTACGGACGCTTCGACTATGTCTAAGAATTAACATGGTCTTATCTTGGTTCATGGTGACTAACAGTTGAATCCACAATGTGCACTTCATCCTACTTGGGACTTAGTGGACAATTATTTTGCGTTTGAAACGATGGGTGCAGGCCTCAAGTGTCAATGGGAGCGTCGTCTCTCAGGTACATTTAATTGACGAGTCCAAAATTGGACGAAATTAGTACCCCTCATTCCACTACTAGTCACTATCAACCAAGATAATATTTTAACTTTGTGTTAGTTGATCTCGTTGGAATACCCGTCAGATACCAGACACTAAAAATGACATCTCTTCTGTCTTGTTTCCACTGTATCGACCAAAGCGGATCAGTTGTAGCCTGAATGCAGGAAATGGATCTTTGCGTCCTACAGTAAAGCTGACAAGACACGCACAGTCACAAAATGCCTCAGAGAAAGCGAAAAGGCAGTTATTCCTGGTTAGATCTATGGTTCTATTCAACAATAATGACATCAAAAACTCAATATTACCTCAACAGTGCCGTCAGTCAAGATAATTTTCTAAGCAGAAAACTAGTACTGTAGGAGAAAATTAATTAGCCAAAATTCAGCTGTAAAAAGCACCCTAGGATGAAAAAGAATATTTCCACCAAGGTGGGATCAACATTTTCTCCATAGGAATCACACACCGACGGTTCTTGCGGACAGTCCAAGGTTAGATCATTCAGGAGGGAGTTTTGCAAACAATTATTCCTTCACATTCACTTTATTCTTGAAGCTTTCAAAAATCATGACTTTTGCATCATCTTTCATTTTGCTGACTTTCACACTGATGTGTTGGTGTGCATTGCCGATAAGTAATCGGTTATTTTAACTTTATATAAGTCTATCTATATTTGTCAGTGGGATTCATCAGGTTTGAATAGCGTCCTACTCACTCCTGGATTTCTGCATTAATGTGTGTGTGTGTGTGTGTTACTGTTCAACATCGCACTGTAGGCATACGTTACAGGCGATTGGGCGAACATATGTATGATTACTGGAATACGTATTGTGTTTCGTTTGTTTCGGCTCATTCACTTTACTTTCGATCATATTAGGTATATGGTTGAAATCCCACCTGACTAAATCCCCTAACTACCTCCCTTGAGTTGTAAGTAGAACATAGGGCTTCAGTCGCGAATCACCATTTTGCCCTATTGTCTTCCATCACTTTCAGTTGACTTCATGATTCCCTTCTCATAGGGTCTCTTTCATGTTGCTCTCGGAAGGACCCCCTATTCCAACTCGTTTCTCATTTGGGTTCCACTTGAGGACCTAGTTTGGGTGTGGTATCACTCAACGGTCTCCTGAGCGTATTTGCAATCCATCTTCGTTTCCTTCTGCATATCTGTTGAATCCTTCTTAGGGTTTCTTGTTGCTTATTCTTTCTAAAAGGCTATTTGATTTTCATTATCGAGCTGGTAAGAAGACTCTAGAATACCTGGTCGTCACGGATGATTTATTTCTAATGTCATAGAGACTCGAAGACTTACAGGCGAAAATCAACAAACTAGCAGAAGAAGCTGCCAGTGAAGGCAGAACTCCAGGTGAACATAGAGAATACGGAAGTGATGAAGATAACCAACCAACAACAACTACGACCAGCACCCATCGCTATCGACTGGAGATATTTGAAATAGATCACTTCTTTTGCCTATTTGGGCAACATCGTTTCAATTACAAGTGATAGCACGAGCGAGGATATCACAACCAGAATCAGTTTGGAAATCTTCTGCACTCAGTCACCATAAAGACCGAAATTCGGATTTTGAACACCAATTTTAAGTCAGTCAGTTCTTCTATATGGGTCATAAACTTGGCGTTCGTGTCACGAAAAGCATTTCCAACAGGCTACTGTAGACTTTCCCAACAAACGTTCCTAAGGAAACGGAAATGGATCCAACACACTCTAAGGAAACCGTTGGGTAACATCGTGCGCCAGACCCTTGAGTGGAACTCGGATGAGAAACGACAAGTCAGGCGTCCGATGGTGACATGGAGGGAGGATATTATGTGAGTAGGAGATAACAGTCTTTAGGCAATCATGAAGCCAGTGAAAGATGACTACAGGGAACAGGAAAAAGTGCAGATGTGTTGTTGAAGCCATATGTTCCACTTGGAACCCAAGGGAATAATAATAATGTTACTAAATATCAATCCAGCGGAGGCAGCTGTTGATAAAAGTTTAACGCACACATAGTCTCATTAACTTCTCACATGACACATTGCTTAATCCATAAAATACTCTTCTAGTAGGCGATTAGGTTGCTACATTCTATTCATACAAGTTCTCACGTATATATATCCTTACGTAAAATAAAATTGCTGAGTAAATTACTACTTTAAGTAGATGAAAAATCAACGTGTTTATCAATTTTGCAATCACAGACATTGCCGAGTTCTATTTGTATTTGTGTACGTGTGTGTGTGTGCGTTTTTCTATGTCTATTATTGAATAGCAGAGTGAAAATAAAACCTCCTGCATGCAACAAATACATTATTATCATTATTCACATTTTTTTTTCTAGCCCACCTCCACCAAGCATTATCGATTTGCCGCGGTGTGCCAAAGAGATATTTATTGTTATCTTATTTCTTTTTAATGGAAGATATTGTCTCCCGATAATTATTTTCACTTATTTTTTCGACTGGTACTCTTTCAGTACTGTTTTACCATTATTATTATTTTTCCCTTGGGTTCCGAGTGGAACATAGGGCTTCAACAACACATCTTCACTTTATTCTATTCTCTTCTGTCCTCTTCAGCGGGGTCGACGATTGTCCGGACTCTCTTATCTCTTCCTCACACTATCTCCTCCATGTCACCCTCGCACTGATGACCCACTCGTCACTTCCTATTTGGATTCCACTCGAGGGTCTGGCGATGGCCCGGCGTCATTCGACGGTCTCCTACATATTTCTTGAGCGATCGGCTCTCGGTTTGTTTGTTCCCAGCCAGTTTCTTGTCGCTAATTCTTTCTGACTGGCTGGCCATTTGATCTTCAGTATGGAGCGAAGTTGGCAGCTGTTGATGAATGTCTGCGACCTGTTGGAAATCCTTCTCGTGACACGCTGACCAATTTTCTGACCCATGAAAAAGAATCGACTTGACATTTGTGTTGAAAATGCGAATTTTATTCCTTATGCTGAGTGTAGAAGATTTTCAAACTGGTTTCAGGTTGATGAAGGCGTATCTTGCTTGTCTTTCCGATTTTGACTTTGACATCTTCGTCCGTTCCATTGGCCTGTAGTTGAAGCGATGCTGGCTGCCTAGATAAGTGAAGGAGGTTACCTCTGTTAAATCTCTCTAGCTGTTTCTTTCATTATTTTTGTCTTTATTGACATCATTATCATAATACCCCAGCGTTCTATTATCTGTGGTTATGTACTTTGACTGGAGACGAGGTAGTAACTAATATCATTCGTCTGGTCTTTTGTTTTTTAATGCAGACTAAACTTTATCAGTCATTTTTGCAATATGGTTACCATGCCACTAGATAGCTCGCCGTCATGGTGCACTCTGAATTGTTGTTATTAGGTGATTAAAGACAATCGGCAAGAATCCTTAGACATGCCTAGGTTTCGTGCTTGTTGACACTCTCAAGGGACATGTATTCCTTCAAGATTGCAGATATGCCTTGCTGAAGAGTGCCAACAAGTACGAAACACAGTTGGAAGGCTTCCTGCTGATTACTTCCAACCATCTGATGAGAGAAACCTGTGGTTATGGTTGCTACTCGAGTATATGTACTCAAAGGTATTGTGTGTTTGTGTGTGTGATTGCAGTTAGAGTCGTCTTCTGCACACTTTGTCAGTAAGTTTTGGGGATAGATTACTGGCCATGCTGAATGTTCGGAGGTTTTTATGATACTATATTACTATTCAAGTCAAAGTAGGTAAAGGGACGTTTTCAAACCGTTACTGACTGACTGAAAACCGAATACCTAAGCAAGTAAACTACATTTTCATTGATTAAATCCTTATGATGATGTTATGAGGGGGCTGGGAACCAATGAGAATCGATTTTTATCATTCGACAAATATCCTGTAGGGATGAATATGACTACAGTGAAGGCAGAGCTGAAAATGGTATGCAACTACTTATTTCAATCAATCAGTAGTATATAGTTTTATGCATTTAAGTCAGAACTTTCTTGTGGTAAATTTGTTTTTGGATCATAAGGTTTGCTACTTAGCAGAGCACTAATATTCAAGCAACAATCGTAACGTTGTCAGATATAAAAAAACTAGTCTTTCAGCGAGAATTATTTGGATGCATGTAATCACTACAATAAAACGATAGTAATTGCTGAGATTGGATGGACTACAATTTGGCATCAAATTCAACGCTAAGCACTGGTCAGTGATTTCCGTGGTTTTGAGTCATTCACTGCTAGTTTAGTCTCACAAGTTTAGGCGTCTCAATGAAAGCTCAAAATTACTTGTTTTGGTGGCTGTTGGCAGAAGGATCGAAAATGCACGTTTCGTCGTACTTAGGATTCGTCAGCTGGATGTACCTACGCTCCAGGGAGTGATAATGTTCCCACTGAGACCAGTAAGCATCGCTACAAACGCCAAAGCGCAATCCACTGGGCCACAGGAATCACCTCTTGCACAACAAATTTAAAAGCTCCATCGTAAGATTCGATCTGTGGAAATGCTTGAGCAACTTGTAGTTTTCACTTGAAACAACCTAAATTATTTTACCTAGATATCTACTATGGGAAGGAAGACATAGCGATCAAAATAAAATTGAAATCTAATTAGTAAATGGTAAAATTCAGTCCTCCCGGGTAAACTTAGCCGTCCATCCGAATCCCAAAGTGATTTATGTCCTCACTTCGATTTCAAACACCACCGCACTATCTGGAGTTTAGTTTTTTAAAGTGCATCTGATAGTCTCGTCAAAACTTTGGAAAAAGTACATAGTTTGTTCTTAAATAGGTTATGTCTGATGACATTTCTATTACAGGATTATAAGTAAGTTTTCTTCTTATGTAATGGCTATTTTTGCTAAGAATTATTTTTAATTCTAGACTAGATGTGTGGTTCCCCGCGATAAGCACTCAACTTCCAAATAATCGGTCACCAGTCCCAACCTTGCCGTACCTAGTTCAGCCTAGGGCATTTAGGATAAAATTACCAGCACCCACACAATATCTATGGCTTACAGCCTCTGGTACATAAAAAATGTGTTCTAGGTAGAGTGGCGTTATAAATAACAGTAACTATTTCCATAAATGGTGCTTTTAATGAGCTTCTTAGTGGCTTATCAGTTTTTCACACGAAAGTCAGGTGACATCACTGTGGTGTTATACTCTGTCAACTTCAGTTTAGTGGAGCTTTTCAAGACTGATTGTAAATTGAATTCAGCCAGAGAACCACTGAAAACCATGTAGTACTGGGAAGCTTTTTCGTCCTAGTTTTGAGACTCTTCAACGGTACTCACCCATAACCCCATCAGAAAATCGAACTGGGGACCTTCAAGTTACAAGGCGAGTTTGTTGACTAACCAGCTAACGGGATGGAATCCAATGGCCCACCAATTCTAACGTCTACCGATTCGTGATAAATAGCATGACCGCCAACCGTCGTCATTGATCTTTTTTGACTAATAGTAGATTTCAGATCCCCGTTGATAAGGACGATGACAATGGCGATGGCTAGAATGCCACTGAAAGCACTGCTTCAAACAGTGTCATCTCAAAAAAACATTTTTACACACATTTACAACTTCAAACAATTAAAAATTCACATTCTTTGATAAAGATGTCAATTTCCAACTACTGTCTTATTCAACAAAAGCGACGATCGGAATGTGAACGCAGATATGGATTTTATATGGACTTGAACTAGTGGACCATTCGGGGTATCAGGTTAGCGATTTTCTCATTTAACCACGAGATTCAAAAGGTAACCATATCTTGCGTCAGTTACAACCATTTGCGTTCCACTGCCTCCATAAACAACCTGATACGGCTAAAGGTGGGTACACTTCGTTCAGTTTTCCTCTGGAAATGTTCACATGTGACCAAGCCTTTATAGCATCTGCTAACTAGGTCATGTTTACTGCCTTCACGCGGTGGGGAGTTTTCCTCACAGAAGTGAAAGAGCGAATGCGAACGTCTTGTACTTACAACCGGACTGGTGAACATCCAGGTCTACTTAGGGGAACTGGAAAACTCTGATTCAAAATCTATAGTGTACACATGCTCCAGAATCCGGACGGATCAGATGATGTGTGGACCTGTTTTGGTCACCGAAACCATAGGAACGTAGCTCCTGACACTGCTCCACTGCACTATAGATCAAACTTCAAGTTGAAGGTTAGAGAGGTGGCCTCTTAAGACTACCGATTGTTTCGGACTGGTCCTCATGCAAACTATACGATTTTGTGTGGTCCATCTCTTGGCACGCATAATGTGCCGAGTTTGTATTCAAAAAATAATAATAATAAAGATTCTGGTTTTGAGTTTGATCACAGGTTGATATCATTTAGAGAACCATTGAAAACCAGGAAGAATTGCATAGCTGTTTCGTCCTGGTTCAGGAATCGCGAGCAGTATGAACCCGGCGGATTGCCTGGAAAGTCGTAACCAGTGGAGTCCTCGTGGTGGGGAGTGAACACAAATACTCACTGATGACATTGGCTAGTGCCGGTCGCGCTAAAGTCACGAATTGGTAGAAGTTTTGAATTCATGGTCAATTGAATGGGGTCCCAGTGGCTGAAGGGTCTACGAGCTCACCTTGAAACCGGAGAGTCCTGGTTTTGAACCCGGGAGGTGATTGCCTACTGCCAATGATTCCCATTACTCCCTGGTTTTCACTGGTTCTCTTACTGACATCAATCCGTGGCCAAACTTGGAAGAAATCAAATCCTTGCAAACAAACTCTTGAAGATTCTCGTTTTAGCTGGATTTTGTCTTCTCCATGTACATAATGTCCAGTAATTTCAATCATCTCTTACCTCTTATTTTTTACTTATCTCTCAGATGCAACAACAAGCCACACGTTTAGCCAAACTGAATGCAACACTTCGTCGTAAACACTTTGTCAGTAAACGACAAGCTGATCAATTACGCGATGAAAAGGTCAATTTGGAGTCATTATTAAATACAAAAGAACAAGAAATAAAACAAATGAAAGAACACGTTTATCATACTCACAATAATAGTGGTACTACTACTACTACTAATAATAACAATAATAATAATGGTAATGCTAATGATGAGAATATTTCAGATTCACCTTTATGTGCTGATATGTCAAAATCTTTAATTGCTGAATTAATATCACCAGACACTCCGGTAAGTCTGTGCTGTGGAGGCTTTACAATTATGTTTCATTCTCTTGCTTTTTGATCTCATCTTTAAAGGTAAATTCTGTATATACATATATCATGGTCAGATAATATGAAGTAACCCACAGAATCTGTGGTACGATATTGAGTTACATAGGGTACATCCGTGGTTCAAGGGTGGTAGAACACTTACCAGCCACACAAGTGGTACGAGTTCGATTTTCGGCCGATGCACTCCTAAACCTCGCTTAGTCTACTGCACAGCAGCAAGCCCACACATAAGGGCATGGGCATGGGACTTTTGAAGCTTAAAGCCCTATGTTCCACTTGAAATGCAAAGAATTAAGGAGGAAGAATAAATGCACTGAGGAAAAGAGTGCCATTACAATTGTTTTGGAGGCGGAATATGTGTGCGTGTGTCTCCACACAAAAGAGCCTTCGAATACCGTATGGTTTGTCTATCAGTTTTCATTTTATGTAGGTTTATAAGGAGGCTGTGGTATGATTGTTTGCTGATTTCTTAAGAAAGAATCTATTTATGGTCTACGGGCTTGCCTTGTAAGCGGAAGGCCCTTGGGTTCGAACCTTGTTGGTTTGTGGGCACTACTGACGAGTACCAAACTAGGAAGAAACAGCTTTCCAGTACCCTCTGGTTTTCAGTGGTTCTCTAACTGATATCAATCCGTGGTCAAACTGGGAACAAATCAAGTCCCTACAAACTAACTCTTGAAAATTGGTGTGATACTCGCTGGTGACTGGCTACAGGACAAAGTTGACTGGAGTTCTAGTGAGAAGTTCTAACTAGTGGGGTCCACTCGGTCAGGAGTGAGGAAAAATGCTCACCGATGTCATTGGTTGGTGCCAGTCGTGTTAAAAGTCACGAATTGGTAGGAGTTAGAATTCATGGGCTATTGGATCGGCTCCCAGTGGTTGAATGGTCTGTGAGCTCTCCTTGAAACCGGAGGGTCCTAGGTTCGAACTCTAGTAGTGGGCGCGTGCCCCCGATGAGTCACGAGCTGGAATGAAACAGTTATCCAATACACTCCCTGGTTTTCAATATTCCTCTAACTGATATGAATCCGTGGTCAAACTTGAAATAAATGTGATTTCTTCGTTGACCCAAGTCCGGATCGATGTGTAAAATGCACTAACAGTTGATTGTTCAACTAAACTTTCTGTTTTTTCGGTATTCCTAAGTGATTCATGAGTAATCTTCATCTTGGCGTTCATAGTTCAGCGAGTTCAGCAGAACTCCGGTTTCTCAATCTGAATGACTAAAGAAAGCTTCAGCAAAGCAAAGGAAAAGGGGAAGCGTATTGTCTTTGGCAGGTTGTTTTTCACTTCTTTATGGATTACTTCGAAGGAGGAGTTTGTTGAGTTAGAATGTCCAGTGTCCATATGGTGTTTTTTATTATCACATTCCTTATAGAACCAGTACTGCCTTTCTTTCATCAACCATATAGGATAGTGTTCATTGACCTTTTGTAGGACAAATTCAGCTGGCCTTTCCTAACTCTCCTATTTCTTTCGAGCTCCCACATAGTATCACATTTTTCCTCGTTTCTATGTACATCGTGATTACAACTCATTCATTAAATTATTTGTCTCACTTATTTAACTCTTCTTATGTATTGATTAATATGACTAAAGCGAAAATATTCATTCAGACATTTAGAAGACAAAAGAATATTTGAGCAAAGAATATGTTTTTCGATAATTTCCTCTTCCGGTCCTACAATCATATGTATTTATCTTTATAGACAGAGAATATTCTAGAATAGAATCATTAACAATAGACTAGAATCATTAACGATATTGGTGTTTTTAAATACTATCGATTTTTTAAGTAAGATCAGTGAAATTATAGTTCACGAAAGATGCATAAATTATAATAAGCATAAAAATGTAATAGCAAATAGAACATAAAATAATACTAAGGAAATATCCACAACCTCGATGGCCAAGGTAAGGATAATGTCTGAACCAACTTCTTTTGGATACATAAGTTAGGTTTCTTAATGTAGATTCTAACAGCCTCAGCAGTAAGTAATGGCCGAACTCTTGAGGTGAAATTAGGCTTATTTGGTATACGGTAGATGACTTTGAAGGCCTTGTATACATCATTGTTGTGTTCTGTATCTACGAGAGGGGATAGAATAGAGCTATGAACTGATTTTGCTCCTCCCTTACTTAACCACGCAGAATGGTGTTAGGAAGTCCGACGATAAATATGCTTAATTGTATTGCCTATGTGACTGGCTCCATAGGAGCAGTCAAACTGATAGATACATATAGAAGAGGCGAAATAAGATAGTTTGTTTTTAACTCTGGAACGCAAAATAGGGGTGTTTCGGAGACGCAGCATACTTCAACAGCACTGAATGCTCTTTATTACCACATTTCTTAGGCACTGTGTTAATATCTCACTGATGTTATCCCCGAGGAACTGAAGTTGTACGAATAAGGCCTTTTCCAGAACTGTTGGTACTTTGACTTGCCTTGAATTTTGATTCATATTCGTATCGATGAATTTTTCTGAGTAACCGTTCTCACTCAGCAACTGTTCATTAAGATATTCATCAGAGCAGATTGCTCTTGCTCTGTGAACCAAGCACTTTATCAGATTACTTTTTTATTTCAAAGGTACGAAGCTGAAGAAATGAGTATACTGACCAGCTGATAGAGGTTTTCTATATACACTTCTTATTGTACCATCCTCTTTTGTAGTCATAAGGATGTCTAGCAATGAAGAAATACTAGAATCTCTTTGTTTCTCGATGAGAAAAATTTATTGCAGGATGAACATCGTTAACTTTGTCCAGGAAGGATGTTCTTTGCTTCATCCTCATTTTTCATAATTAAAAATGTATCGTCCTTGTAATGGCAGTAGAATTCTAGTTCATCAATTACATCTCTCCAAGGGCTATTGTCTAGTTTTGCGAGGAAAATGTCGACTAGAATAGATCCTATTGGTGACTCCATTGCCACACCATGCATTTGTCTATATACTTTCTTATTAATTAAGAAGTGAATATTCATTATGCATTTCAAGTGAAGTTCTTTGATAAAAATTATAAGAATGCAGGCATCGATGTTTCGTCTTATGAGTTCTTCGGATACAAAGTTTACTGTTTCTATCAGTGGTACATTGGTGAATAAGGAAGCTACATCCAATGATATCATGAATTTATTGTCCACAGTTAAATATTTTATCCTTTCAACAAATCCAAAGGTGTCTTTTACTCTGTGTTTTACCAATTCACTATGTAGAGGCTGTAAGAGTTTGACTGATCATTTAGCTATGGGATGGGTATGTTGATTAATATTAGCAAGTATGTTTGTAACAACTTATGACTTTCGTTTCTATACTGATTTGCGAAAATATTCTATATAAATACAATTGAACGACTAAAGAGGAAAATGAACCCGCTGAGAAGGACCTTTTTTTGCTGAACTACTTGTTTTGTTTTTTGTAATTTTTCTAGTAAATACCGTTAAAAATAAATTTTTTTTAAAAATTTCCTTCACGTTCCCCAGTGGAACATAGGGCTTCAAGCTAGTGGCTTGAAGTTTCTGTAGCAGTGCTTATTTTACAGGATGGGGTTGCTAGCCTCATGCCCAACCTTTCCTCTTCACCAGCATTATTTCTGGCTCAGAGAGGTAAAGGAGTGCGTCGGCCGGGAATCGAACCTCGGACCATGTGCATGGTCGGCGATCGTCCTAACCACTATACCACCGACGCATGTTAAAAGTAAATACAATTAAAATTATGTATATCCAGCTGAAACCCTATGGAGTTGTGTCGTTTTTGCTTGACATGAATCTGCCTTTCAACTAATAGATTATTGACTGCAACTTGTCTCTACCTATGGAGAATTTTGAAGCTAGGTGGTAGGTAACGTAAGCCCACACTGACGCACGCTCACATACAGACATACATTTGCATGGATATGCACACTGAGTTTGTAATGACAGAATGTAACGTGTTAGGGTGTGAACGCAGGAAACCAGCCTTTGTGTTCTGCTGTATAGTTAACTGGAACTTCCTGTAGTTTCGTGCAGTCACAAAATACCCGCATGGCAGCAAAATGACAGTTATTTGCGATAAAATCTGCGACGCTACTCAACAATCATAATGTATCAAATTACAAAATTAACTCATGGCTATACAGGTCTAATAGGTTTTGAAGTACACAACAAGTACCATAAAACAGAATTGGTTAACTAAAGTCAACTTTAAGAAGAAGTACCTCAGAACTGGGAAGAAAATTCCCGAAAAGGTGGGATGAAAACCCTGTAGAGAAGAATCACACACTTGAGAATTCCCGGAGACAGTCCAAGATCAGAATCACTTCGATTCACTCAAAAAAAATCACATCGTAAAACTACACATTATCAATATCATCATCGCACAATCATGGAGAGAAGCATTTAAATTAGAGATAAAACAGGAATAAAGAAAAATAAGGATTAAGTCAGCATGTGATATGTGACAGTTGGGACGATGATATATCGCCTAGGAGAAAACAGGATAATAATTACAAAGTTATGGTAATTATATCATTCCTGAGGGATCTTCTAAACAATTATCCTGTTAATGAGTTGTTGAGTAACAATGTTTTTGTAGTATAAATGTACCTTCGTGCACCCATGAATAAACCACATTGACACGTGAATGAATTGAATCAGGTTTCAAATGTCACACTTACCTAGGCAGAATCATCTAGACTACAGCACAGATAAGGATGTCAAAATGAGAATTGGAAAGGCACGACACACCTTCATCAGTCTGAAATTAGTTCGGAAATGTGTTGCACTCAGTCATCATAAAGAACAAGATTCGGATTTTCAACACCAATGTGAAGTTAGTCACTTCTTCTACATGGTGGAGAGACTTGGGACTCGCGTCACATAAAGCATTTCCAGCAGGTTACAGACTTTGATCAACAGCTGCCTTCTCTGGCTCCATACTGAAAACAGTTGGCAGGCCAGAGTGAATTAGCAACAAGAAACTCTGGCTGGGGACAAACCAACCAAGAATCCGACTGCTCAAAAAATATGTAGAAGAAAATGGAGATGGATCAGAAGCACACTAAGGAGAATGTTGAGTGATATGGCGCGACAGCTCATCGCTTGAGTTGAACCGGAATGCGAAACAGCCAATCGGGCGTAGATTCAAGGGTGATGCAGTGGAGGTCGTTTGAGGAAGAAATAAGAGCCTTTGTGCAATCTTGGAGCTATCTAAAACAGACTTCAGGGAACACGACAAAATGGGGATATACTGTTGAACCACTTGGGAACTAAAAGAATAAAAATGATATTCAGGCGCTGTCATCTTGTCTGTTATGCTTTTTTGCCTCATCATAATTGCTAATCGGATTCAAGGTATACATATTCACTGATTATGATTGTGACTTATCTACTCCATGTTCCTGTGATCATTTAATTAAGAATTTCAGAGATTCAACTATCAAGTTTTAGTTATTTTATCTGTAGGCATATTCTATTGTGTACGTTTCAGTTGTACTCAGTCAGATTGAGAAGAACAGTGTTCTTTGAAATGTATATTATTATTATTATTGTTCCCTTGGGTTCCTAGTGGAACATAGGGCTTCAACTGCACGCCTCCACTTGCTTCTGTCTTGTGCTGTACTTTTCACTTGCATCCATGTTGATCCATACTGTTTCACTTCCTCTTCACACGATCTCCTCCATGTCACCCTTGGACGTCCCACTCGCCGCTTCCCTTTCGGGTTCCACTCGAGGGTCTGACGCGCAGTGTCACCCAACGGCCTCCTCAGAGAGTGTCCAATCCATCTCCACTTTCTCCTGCATATTTGAAATGTATACTAATCACAATTAAAGGCGAGAGTTTAAGCCGTATATATGATAAATATGAGTGATTAGGTTAAAGGTTTATATGACTAGACTATTAGTCAAATGCGAGGTATCATAATTTGTGCTACTGGTTGTCTGGATACACAATAATTGAAGTTCGGATGAAGCAAGAACGAACATGTTGGCAGAAACTATTGCTATCTAGTGATTTTAGCCTAATTTTTGTATACATAAAGATTGTGTGTAATAAATCTTACGCTGTCTTGGTGACTATAACATCCCTACTCAGTTCCTATGTTTTTTAGGGTTTCATCATAAACTGACATCGGTTAGAGAGCCATTGGAAAACCTGGTAGTACTAGACAGCTGTTTCGTCATAGTTTGGTAATCTTCATCAGCACGCACCCACTGAGGTTCGAACCCAGGACCCACCAGTTACAAGGCGAACTAGCTCGTAGACCATTCAGCCACTGGAACACGATCCACTGGTCCTATGTTTTTGCTGCATCACAATCTTTTTTCGTTTACAACTCACTGAGTTGAATTCATTGTTAATCTTCCAGTTTATTTAATTGTTTGTTTACGTAATAATTTTACTTTCACTTACCATTACTTTTCACTCCCACCCTCTCCTTTTGAACTTCCAATCGCATTATGCGTGAATAAACTGTGGCTGTTAGATTGTTTATTTGTTGCTACTTTTTATTACTTTGCGTTCCAAGCGGAAGATAAGGCTTCAAGCTTCAGCTTTGCAGTTCCAATAGCAGTAGCGTTAATTTTTTTTATGGGGTGGGGTTGCTAGCCTTATGCCTAACCTTGTGTTTTTCCAGAGTTACTACCGACTGAGTGAGGTTGAGGACTGCGTCGGCTGGAGATTGAGTCTCGGATCACGTGAGGCGTGGTTGGTGGGTATTCTACCAATCAGCCATTGATTATTATCTATCTTTGTTCATATCTGTCGTCCCACTGCTATGCGCTTTTATTTAAAATGATTTTCGTATTATATACATATGCATTTATAATAAATTATGTCAGTTTTAAGCTGTTAGCAGCTGGAGCAAAGCCATGAGACAGAAAAAAACTGATTTCCTTTTATCCTGCAACTATATGTATATCCGTTCTTGCTTTGTTCAAACTAATTAAGGGAACTGGGAAGTGTAAAATAATTAGAGCGTAAATCAAATATTATGTTTATTGGGAATAGGATTTATTGGCTTAAGCACTTGACTCGCAGAAAATAGGCCACAGGTTTCGATCTTGCTCCACGAAATTCAGCAATTGGGTGTGATATTATCAACCCGTAAATGGTGAAGTTGAACTACGGCGGCTACTCCGACAGGCGTCACTACTATTCAGCTTTAGCAACTAATCAAAATTAAGGAGCAATATAAGTTGCATAATTGCTAAAAAGATGATAGTAGATCATGGTGTTCTGGGATCTGTTTATATTTCTGGTTCTGCTCTTTAATTCACATCAGAATCCCAATACTCGCTAAAACCAGTTATTCTGTCAAGCTTCCTCTGCATACGTATGCTTTAGTAACTCCAATTAATCCATTATTCATACAATAATCAAACACTCCATCTTCCTAGAACTCATTAAGCAAATGCAAAGCAGAAGGTTTAATTTGATATAGTTAACCGTCAAATGTTTGGTAAGTAGGGGAAATCAATCGATGAGGTTGTCAAGCCACATAGATTGAAATGGTTGGGGCATAGTTTATTCATACTTAGCCATCGTCTTCCTCGACGGTCAGTGTTAGCTGACATAGGATCAGGTTAAAAAAGAGCTAGTGGTGGTCTAACCAAAATTCGGAATCAGTCCATGAAATCTTTGACAGTTGGGTTGAGCCAGGTAGGGAGATGTTGACCGCTTGGTCAGTATCATCGGAATTCCAAGAAGCAATGTCTGGAGGCAGTTGATGATATATGATGCATTCACTCCTTGTGATGTACTATATCCATTATCTTCACCACACCCGTCTTCTCTATGCTTACCTGGACTTTTGTCTTCGCTGCTAGCCTCTTCAGCCAGTTTGTTGGTTCTCGCCTGTAAGTCTTCGAGTTTGTGTGACATTAAGCATAAATCATCTGCAAAATCCAGATTTGGAGTGTTCTTATCTGTCCAACATTCTTTTGTCTTCTCACTCCCTGTGTACAGTCTGACGCATAATCAAGTCCACCACAATTAAGAATATCATCGGTGATAATAGGCAGCCTTCCTTGTCTTATTCCGTTGTAGGTCACCTGGCACGTGGGATTGTCATATAGCTGTTGAATGGAGTCGATAAAGACTTGGGTACTGCACCATGTGGTGGTGAGGCAGTTTCCAAATTAATTCTCGGTCAAGGCTGCTGAATGCCTTTTCTAAGTCGATGAAGTTAGGGTAGATGTTTAACTGCCATTCTATACTTTGTTCCATGACGATGCGTAGAGTTGCAGTCTGATCAGCACATGATTTGCCTTTCCTCAGTCCAGCTTGTCCTGGTTGGCGGAGTTCTGTATGCAGTACATCTCGTATTCTCTCCAGGGTGACACGAATTATTTTTTTTGCTCGCCGTGGACAAGAGCATTATTCCAAGCCAGTTCTTGCAAAGGCAGGCGTAAGTCGCCCCTCTTTTGGTAGGTTGACAAGGTAACCAGCCTTTCTTCCAGTCGGTAGACACCTTGCTTTCCTTCCTTCCTTCCAAACGTTTTGCGATAATGGCGTCAGCATATCTGTCACAGTCTCTGGGTCAATTCTCAGCGCTTCGGAGGAAATTCTGTCTGGTCCTGCTGCCTTCCTTGATGTCTTTCAGTAGCTTGATTGCATTCAAGACTTCTGCTTTCGTTGGAGGATTTTTGTCCACTGGCAGTTCCGTGCGTGCTGTTGGTGGTATTTCTGGGCGAGTTGCAGGCGATGGTCGATTCAAGAGTCCTTTCAAGTGATCAACCCATTGTTTTATTTGTTTCTTCTCTTTGTTAATTAGGTTCCTTTGAACATCTTTCATAGATATCCGGGATAGTTGAGTTCTAATTGTGGGAGGATTTAGTAAAGAATCAGCAGTAGCGCAATAGTGTTAATTTGTGTAAATTCTGCACTGCTTGTACTTGTTACTGATTAAATAATGAACTACCTTGTTTGTTTTTCTTTGAAAAATATTTTTTCTTTTAGCCGGGACAATTAACAGAAGAACAGTTGGTTGAAAGACTTAATATCGAAGGGAAAATGATTGTTGATAAACATGATCCAAATCGTCCTCATTTCACCCTGCAAGAACTTAGAAATGTTTTGACTGAACGTAATGAACTGAAATCACGTCTAATTGAAGTTGAAGAAGAATTATTAGTTTATAAACGAGCTGGGTAGGTTATCTTTCTTTTATCACAGTTTTAAAATGTGTAGGAGACATTTTTGTTGATTTATTCTGTTAGGAAGTAATTATATTTCGATGTTTCTCTGAAAACTAGAGGACACCTTTCATTTTGTTCATTGGATTTCCTGTTGCTTGGTATTCACTGTTTATTGTTATAACTGTCAGTCGACACTTTTCAACTGATGTAATCTTTAGCGTAGATGTGATGCCAGGCTATCAATTAAAGGACTTATGTACTCTCTCTGTTCCTCTTTATGGTTGTAAGACGTGGCCACTGAAAGGGGAATGTATAATTAGACTAGTTGTCTTTGACCATAGATGTTTACATTGTATCTTCTGTGTCAGTTGGTATAATTTGTTGAGTAATATTGGAGTTTGGCGTCGGTGGCACGGCGGTTAGGACGCTCGCCGACCATGCACATGGTCTGGGGTTCGATCCCCGGCTGGCTCACTCCTTTACCTCATTAATCCAGAAATAAAGTTGGTAAAGAGGAAAGGTTGGGCATGAGGCTAGCAACCCCATTCTGTAAAATTTCACACTGCTGCAGAAACTTCAAGTCTCTAGCTTGAAGCCCTATGTTCCACTAGGAACTTACAGGAATAAAAAAATATTGGAGTTAGACGAAGAGTGTTAGTTTTAGAGGGGATGTTAGCTAATAAGGTGGTTGTGAGGCTGCATCGATCCAGGTGGCTAGGACACGTGTTACGCATGACAAGCCGTCGGTCGCTTAGACTGGATTTGGTTGGAAAAGTGGTGATCAAATCAGTCCTTGAAGTTTTTGACTGTTAGTTTGGTCCACATGTGGAAGTTCGAACTGTCTGAATTTGTTTTATTCCTTTACGTTCCCAGTGGAATATAGAGCGTCAAGCTAGAGGCTTTGGAGTTTCGGTAGCAGTGGCATTTATTTTTACGAGGTAGGGTTGCTAGCCTCATGCCCAACCTTTCCTTTTAACCAGTCTTACTACTGGCTTAGCGAGGTAAAGCAGTGCGTCGGCCGGGGATCGAACCCTGGACCACCTGCGTGGTAGGTGAGCATTCTACCTCTGTGCCACCAACGCACGAGTGTTTGAATGGGGTCGTCAAAATGCTAAGAACCACAATTGCTGAAGACTGTTGGTGATATGGTTTGAAATCGTTCTCTGTGGTGCAAATGTATTGGAACCAGGTCAAATTCTGCCTCAGTCCATCATTCCTATCCAGACAATTTCAGTTTCGTTTAGTATGAAGTGGTTCTGATATGAGACGTTCTTTTTGATTTCTGATATTTTTCTGGATGATTTCAATATTACCAAAATCAATTTCGTGGCTTGATTCTATAGCGTGTAGACCTATAGCTGATGATTTTTCAAGCTTTTCTAGAACAAATAGATTTCTCAGGGGTCAAACAGATGCTCTACTTTGATCATTTCTTTTGATTTTGATTTCTCGCGATGTTTGTCCGATGTATATCGCATCACATTGTAATCATTTCGTTTTATAGACACATTTATGTTTTGAATCCTTTGGAACTTGGTCTTTTATATGGACAAGGTTGTTTCACGCTGTGTCTGATATTTTTTAAGAAAACTCTGATGTTGTGTTTTTACTGAATACCCTTCTGACGTTTCTGATCTATATGGAGTGACAACTGTCAAGGTGTATTTCCTCGGAATACGTTTTCGATCATGTTTAACGTCGGTGTTGATTTTGGTAATGAAGTTCTTTTGGTATTTATTTTCCTTGAGAATTTCAGCAGTACTATTTGATATTTCTCCTTCTTTTCCCTTCTCATCCGTTACCATCCAAGAGTATGCTCATCTAAGAAGACTTGAGACAACTGATACCTTTGCATTGATGGAGTGTGGTGATTCAATGTCTAAATGTTTGTTTGAATGTCTTTTCTTCTTGGATATAGATATATTAAAATATCGATTTTCTTTCCTCTTAACTGGGCAGTCTAGAAAAGCTAGCTCACTGAAGTCTGATTCTGCTTCCAAAGTGAACAGAATGCTGCTAGGTAGTGTTCAGCTTCTCCAAGAATGAACTGTGTAGATCTCGTTTTAAGTACAACGAAAGTATGATCAACGTGTCTTAGCCATATCTTGCGGTGTGACTGTGTTTGAAAAGATGTTATCTTGAAATATATTCATGAAAAGGTCAGCGACCGTTGGGGGAACTGGGGAGTTCATAGCTACACCTCTGATCTGTCCATATAAATTCCCTGGAAATGTAAAATAACTAGTTTCCAGATAGAATTTTAAGCTTTCAATTATTTCACTTGTGTCTAATGGAAATCCTTCTCATAGAGTTGTATTTGATTCTAGTAAAATGAAGGTGATTTGATTTCAAGATTTTCAGTAATGGGAATACTAGTATATTATAAGTTAATATCACATAGCTTACATTAATGTCTTCTTCATAAATTTCCTGGTTTTCTATTTCCCATTTGAAATCATATGAACCTTTAATAGCATCTTATCAGTAAAAACAGTATCGTTTTGTTTTTGATTCATCGAATGCCCAGTGCCCAAAGCTTTTCAAACCATTAAACGTGAACTTGGTCCGGACATATGCATCTTTCCAAACAATTGACTTGATTCATTCCATAAACTATGCATAGATGGTCCCTCCTTAGTCGCTCTAAGATGTGTCGACATCTTAAAAGCAACATTTTATGATGTTTCATGCAGCCAGTTCCCTTTATTAGTTGAAATAAAGAAAGAACGAGCATATTTGCAGGATAATATGAACTGGTTGTATCCCGTGGATTCTCTTCAACTGAATACATCCTAAATAAATCAGTTATCTGTTACAAAATGGTGTCTGAACGTAATTCTTACAGTGATTTCAAGTTATAGATAGAAAGTGTTAGCAACATAATTTCAAAGATGATGTAAGTAGACAATTATTTAGTGTTAAGAGAGTAACTATTTATATGGTAATTAGACAAAGGGGTGGAATTCAGATTTCCTTTTGGAAACAAGGATGGACTAGAGACAAAATACAAGACGGAGCTACGGAGTTAATTATTCATATTATAGTAGAGAGTTCAAGAAGGTGGGGGGGGGGGTGAATAGTGAGGTATAATTGTAAAATAGATAAAACAATTTAATTTAGTAGATCAGGGACCTTAATAGTGAGTTCAACTCAGTGAGTGAAAATCAAGATTAAGTGGAATGTTGTGCAACAGAACAAAACAATTATGGTTACCAGGGTAGGGTCATGAGAGATTAGTCACACTCTCTTTCTGCATGCTTAGGTTGGGTGGAAGTCTTTTGATGGCAATGACTTCTGCGAACCGAAGTAACCATACTTTTCTTTGTGTATTGACTTATTTTGAAAGCCTGACTAATTTCCACTGTATGTCTGCTGTCAATTAGATGTCTGGCGATTGCGCTTTAGAATACTTTGTTGCCTTGAAAATGGAAACTTTTAGGGATATGCTCTGAGAATCTAGTAGACTTTCTCCTCTCAGTCCTTCCTATGTACTTCCTGTCACAAATGCAGGTGAATTGGTAATTACAGTTGGAGTTGATATGCAGAGCAGGGTACTTATCTACTTTTGACTGGATTAACAAGCATACTGTTTTATAAAGTGGAATGAGTCTAATTTAATTAATTTTATTATAACTTGATTCCACACAGTATTTTTGATACAAGTATGGAATTTTCAGCATGTGATATCGGTTGCCCAAATTTAGAGGGTCTACCATTGATATCAGGTTTGCGTCGGCCGGGGATCGAACCTCGGACCATTTGCATGCTCGGCGAGAGTCCTAACAGCTGTGCCACCGACGCACACCATCTTTGAAATTATGTTGCTTATACTTTCTATTTATAACTAGAAATCATTGTAAAAAGTATGTCCAGACACCATTTTGTAACATATAATTGATATAATTAGGATGTATGCAGTTGAAGAGGGAGAATCCACGAAAGAAAACGAGCTCGTATTACCCTGCAAATATATTCGTTCTATATTATGATGTGTTTTGTCTCCCTTAGTTTGGTTTTTTGGTATGTTTAAGAGGATTTGAGCGTTTCAGGGAAACATTCGTTCATTTTGGTGATTCTCTGTTGGATTATGATAGAGGCAAATTTCATTTGAAAAAAACAAGGACAAATCAGTTATCGTGTTTATGTTTTTTGTTTTTATAAATATTATTCGTGTTTTCATCTTTTATTTGGTTATAAATCAGGAAAAATAAAATAATCGACTATGTGATTGCGTCATAATGCTTTAATTCATATTATTATGGAGGCAAATTTTGATTGTGACGAGGTCTTTCCGCAGGATTTATCGATTGAGAAGGGTATGAGTAGTTGTATAGTAGTCACACGTTAATCAAGTTGTGTTTGCTGTCCAAGTCGAAGGGATCTAAACACCATTTGGCCCTTATTGGTGGTTTAGGGCTGAGCTCATGAGCGGTGTACTCAGTCTGATTAAGCTCAAATGGCTAAAACCACACAAGTTCTGATTAACTACTTCACAGCTTTATTTACCATTGCCCAATGACAGTTTCATGTACTTCTTGTAGTTTTACAATAGAGATAGACGTGACATAAAGTAGATGAATTAATACAGCCTCTGACTTGAACACTGATTGATTGGTGAGAATTCTTGTCTCGCATAAGGTTACACATGTTCCTTATCAATAATTGCCAGCATGCATAAGACCTAGTTTTTACTATTGCAGATCTAATGTAATTATGTAATCAATAAGTAACTGTCCTTCTCCTACTAAATCGAGTCGTAGAGTAGGTAAAAACAATCAATAAAATGACTGGGGTAACTCTATACTGTTAGTGTAATTATATCAGTGAACATCTATTATATCACGTGTTCTATAATGTGTCTAGAAATAGTCGAAACATCACAGCCAGCCTTCAGTTGCATTCGTGTCTTATTTTTTGATTATATCACTGTTTTAAATTTCGTTAATTGCTGTTTCTAATTGATGTAAAAATTCTTATTATGTTCGGTGAAAGGAAAGACATGTGATTCAAGGAAAAAAAAAGTTTTTTCTCCTGTGGCGAATTCATTCAATCCAACCTTACACATTAAAAGTTGTATACATTTTCATATTTCACTGGATATGTTAGATATTTTCGGTTTTGTTATTTACAATAATAAACCCTAACAGTAGCTGTTATGTTGTCTTGGTGGCATATCACAATGAGCTACATTAACTGGAACAAATGTTCCTGCAAGTTTTACCATGCCGGAAAGTTCGTTGAGATATCGGTTAGACTGAAAGCAGGTGTTAGTCGTTTACACTGTGTTTGAGGGTTTGTGAGTGAAGTCGTACTTGTGGCAAATAGGTATGTTACAGCAGTAAAGTGACCAGCAAGCTACCTATGTTACCTCTCTGCCATGGAGGGGATGGATGGATGACTTTCCCTGCTAGTTAAGTTCTTCATACGGACACAACTCTAAAAGCTGAATAAAACAGGTACGTCGTCTGCAACGAATCTCAAGTAGTTGCCCCTTGTGTTCTGGGTTCGTGCAACCCTAATACTCCTGGTTTAGCTCCTCCAAGAAGCAATCAACTTCCACAGTGTGGGTAGCAAGAAATTAATAACCGCTATCCTACACACTTCCATAAGTACACAAATCTTTCCTGTCCGTTATCCACCTATTTCACAATGTGGCGGTTTTAGAGTTACAGCTATTTACCATTCCTACAATTTTGCGTATGTGCGTCGGTCGCACAGCGGTAGAATGCTCGCCAGCCATGCATGTAGTCCGGGGTTCGATCGCCGGCCGACGCACTCTCAAACCTCGCTAAGCCAGTAGTAAGACTGGTAAAAAGGGAAGGTTGGGCAAGAGGTTAGCAACCCCACCCCGTAAAAATAAATACCACTGCTACGGAAACTTCAAAGCCTCTAGCTTGAAGCCCTATGTTCTACTGAGAACTTAAAGGAATAAAAGAAATATATGCGTGTTCGTATTGTAGACACTTAGTGTTAGACGGTGAACGTTACTGTCAGCTTGCCCATGTCACAGTGGATAGAATAGTAGTTCAAACCTGAACCTGTTGATTATAGGTTAAGTATTTTTTATGTCAATGTCTCCCAGGTTCATACTTCAGTCGCTGTATTCTACAATACACGTGGAAGTGTCTAAGTACTTGATGGAGTGTAGTGGCTTGAACTGCTGCAATTCTGTGCGAAGTTCTACACTGAGACTTACTCAGGCCAGGCAGCATCATTAACTCTCACATAATAGACGTGGCTCATCGCCGACTGCATTAAATTGCAAGTGGTAGTTATGTAGCATTTCATTCCATTTTCACATCTTCGTTTACCATAGTTTCGTTGCATTTTTTATTTCTCTACTTTTGTATGCTATATCGAAGTATGGAAACTTGATATGATGCACTTTAATGTAAAGTTATGCATTGATGACTCAGTCACTTAAATCTTGCAGCGTGTTTTACTTCAAGTTTACTTTACAGGTTAGTTGTGTGCGACACCAAGTATCGCATCTCTACATACTTTTCAACTAATAAGAAAAACAATTGGTTTGTGGGGATTTGATTGATTGGTTACAGGATTTCATTATGAGCTGACATCGGTTAGAGAACCACTGGAAAATCTGGGAGTACTGGACAACCTTTTCGTCCCAGTTTTGAGACTCTTCGTCAGTACTCACCCAGCGCCAGGGTTGGAACCCAGGACCTTCTGGTTACATTGCGAGTTCGCAGAAAAAGGTCAAAACATTATTGATATCTTCTTGATCAAGACGAACAATGTGAACTGGTTCCAACGGCATGAATACATGCATCACTAGAAATTTAAGTGAACAGTACCCAAATCTTTACATACATTATTTATTTTAGAATACATGTTAGTGATTCACAGTTTTACAAAAGTATAAATATTTCCTATCCATTAGAAATCCTAAACCTCTGTGCATAAAACCCTGGTAAGTTAACTGAAACGCGTTTATCCTTTGCCGCTATCATGCTAATAATCGTTACCAGAATAGTAATACAAATACTAACAGTATATTACAGATGAAGGTGGATTTTCGTCACGAACCAATATGTTCGATAGATCACTTAATGCACTTCCTGGAGCTACAATAAGAGGTCATGACCAATGGGGTCTACAATGTCAAGAGGAAGTGAAAGCTCATCGATAGCATTGGTGAAAGCAGCACTCTATCATGAGTTGGTGAAGTTAGAATTCACGGCTGCTTGGATTCCAGCCCAATTGGCTGAATGGTCAACGTGCTTGGTCTCGTAACTCGAACGTTCCAGATTCGATCCCTGGTGGGGTCGTCGGTACTCTCTGCTGGGGATTCCCAAAAGTAGGACAGAAAGGCTGTCCACTACTTCATTGTTTCCAGTGATCTGTTTAACAGATATTGCTTCGTGAGGAAAGTCTTACAATTGAAATTAACCAAAAATCCTCAGAAATTGTCCAGTCTGAATATCATCTCCTTAAACTGTTCTCTTCTCCTCAAAGTTCCATGTGTTCTACGTGTTGTGTGTTCAGCACATTCCATAGCCGTTCACTTCACTTGTATTATTCGGTTAACTCATCTATTGCGAGTGGGTTAAGCTATTTAGCATCTAAAAGTAATACCATCATTACTATTATTATTATTATTATTCCACTGAGTTTCAGATGGAACATACGGCCTCAGCAACACATCAACATTCCACTCTGTCCTCTATTATCACCTTTAGCTGGCTCCACCTCTGCCATATCAGCCTCGTACTCATGCCAAACTTGTAGGTTCCCGTTTGAATTCCAGTCGAGAACCTGCCTTGTGTTTAGCCACTCAAATATCTCCTCAGCTTATTTTCGATCTATCTCTATTTTCTTCTGCAAATTTGTTGGGCAACCGTGCTTTTGGTTATTCTGTTATTAGAGTTCCTTGACACCCCTCCTTTCTGATTGCCATCTGTTCTTCAGTATGGTGTAAAGGCAGTTGTTGACCAAAATGCACCCGTCCGTAAACCACATAGGAGCATTGGTTTGACGTAACTGTTGTATATTCGGATCTTATTCCTCATTTTGAGTGCAGCAGATTTCCACACTGATTTCACATTAGTGTACGGTTGTCTTGGTTTTCTGAACCTAGCTTTGACAATGTCATCCGTGCTACTTGTTTGTGGTTGCAACAATACCACTTAGACAAGCGAAATAGATTATTTCCTTCAAACTCTCCCATTGATGTTGACCAGTACTTGTTGTTGTCGTTTAGGCATTTTTATTACCTCTGCCCTCCCTATGTTTCCCTGGAGTCCTGTCTTCGCTGCTTTTTCTGCCAGTTTGTTGATTTTCGCCTGCAAGTCTTCGAGTTTGTGTGACATTAATAACAAATTGTCCACGAAGTTTAGACCTTCTAGTCTTTTTTGTCTGTTTAACATACTACTGTCTTCCCACTACCCGTGGTATGTTGCGTAATTCAGTCCATTATAAGCAGGGAGATCATCGATGATAGTAGAAAGCCTTGCTCAGACCTTAGTCGGATGCAGGGATTCGTCGCTTTTATACCCCTTGACTAAGCTTCATATCAATCTGTGAATATCATATTGAAGTTTTAAGTGCCTTATTTATAAGTCCCCCTCCCTTCATTGAAGGGAATATCTTTGAGAATCTAACAATACAGTGTTGCCGATAACCTAACAAATACGTTTTAAATACATTATCAACTGCTTTTGGGTTATTTTATTATTTACTGTATCAAAAGTAATAGTGTTTCCCTTTTTTTTTTAAATTCTCCAACTTGGTGATTTATTTTTTCTCTTTTAATTGACTTTTAACTTGAAAGCAGCATCGCGTTCTTGTGCTAGCGTGTGCGTTCAAATATTCATTTTAAACCATACCGTTGTTTACGTGGACAATCATTTTAACAAACAATCTCATTTTCATGAATATAATATCTTTTGTGCTACTAATGATAGAAGTAATGTAATTATTCATAAATATTGTGATTGTCTTCCTTGAGAAGTCATGTACATCTTAGATGTTTGTTAGGTGGTTGGGAGCGATTGACAAGGCAGCTATTGATCTGGGTTTTTGTGCTTGTCAGCACCCACCTGTTAGCAAGGCATATCTGCGACCTTAGTAGAATTCATGTCTCTTTTGAGAGTCGAAGGGAAGTATCAGCACAAATACAGAGGGCTAGGTTCGCATATGCCAGTTTACGCCATCTCTGGAGTAGACGTGACATCCGACTATCGACCAAAGGGCGTGTGTACTGCTCAGCAGTCCGCTCCGTTCTCCTTTATGGCTGTGAGACATGGCCATTGACAGCAGAAGACATGAAAAGATTATCTGTGTTCGATCATAGGTGTCTGCATTCTATCTCCCGTGTGAAGTGGTATAATAAGGTGAGCAATATGGAGGTTAGGCGTCGAGTGCTAGGTAAGGAGGGGAAATCAGTCGACGAGACTGTGAAATTGCATCGACTGAGATGGTTGGGACATGTGTTACGTATGCCTAGTCATCGCCTTCCTCGACGGGCAATGTTAGCTGATATAGGGACAGGCTGGAAAAGAGCTAGCGGCGGTCAAACCAAAACATGGCACCAGTCAATGAAATCCACAACAGTTAGTCTAAGCCACATAGGAAGATGTAGACTTCCTGGTTGGGGTCCTCGGGACGGTAAAAACCAATGGTTGGAAACAATTGGTGACATGGCTCAAAATCGTTCTCAGTGGCGCAGATGCATCCACTCCTTGTGACTTATGATTTCCAATGAAACTGTTTTGTTCTTCGTTATTACTATTCCTTTGTCTCACACCTCTGTTTACTGTCTCTAATATTCATTTCTCCTACTTTCTTCTCTTGCTTTGTGTGCTACATGGAGTGTGGCGACTTGAACTCCCGCACATATGTGCAAAGTTCTATGTCGAAAACCGACCGACCGACCGACCGAAGGGAGGTGTCACTACTGAGCTATTTGGACTGACAACTGACCTCTTTCGAGAGAGAGTAACCAGTGTTATGCATCTAGTCGTTGGTGCTGGCTCAAATTGAGCTCTACCAGTCAAGGGACACTGTGGTCACTAGGTATTCACACAAATATCGGTGACCAGCAGTGAAATGTTCTACAACTTCCTGGTAAACTACTGTGGGCCCATGTGGTAAATGAGACAATGCACACGAGGATATCGCATTATGTGTTCCAAAAAAGTGACCCTAAGCGAGAGAGAGATAATTTCTAATTATCAAAATAATAATAATAGTATTAAAATAGTATCATGGACGCCAATGCTACAGCGACATTGGCCGAATAGTGTGCCGTCTAACTCCATTATGGATAAGATTTTATTTCGATAAATCACACAGTGTTGTTATACAGTAATATTAACTGATGACTTTTCGAGCACAAACTATTGCCACTCATAATCATATCAAGTTACTCACACAACTTTTTTCCTTCATTTATATGCATGAGTGGAATCGATTAGACATTGGAATAAAAATCAATATGGGATAATGTACATTCAGAAAAAATAATATGACTGTTATTGATTAATTACAATCAGATGGGAAATAAGATGCTTTTTTATAGTCAAAATAACTAATAAGTGCTCGAAACGTCATCAGTTAACATTACTGTATACCACTACGTGATTTATCAAAATAAAATCTTATCCATAATGGAGTTCTACTCTACCTATGTGCCCAAGTTTTATATTTATATCAGTGAGCCGTCTATCAAAAATGTTGAAATCTGACTGGTTGTCTGTCTAACTGACAGAGAAATCAATAAACAATCAATTCTGTCTGCCGAACCATATAGTCACATTAATTAACTGTTAATGAATTGATGTACTGCTGATTTGAATTCGTTGACAGATGTGTATTTAACGTTATTTTCACTAGCTGGACCGATTCAATTTGTAGATGACAAGCAGTTGTGTTTATGTATATCATTCACATTATTCTGTACAACCTAAGCTTATGATTATCATATCAGTGAAACTGACAAGAGCCGGGGCTAATTAATGTTCAGATTATGGGATTTTGGAGGATTTGGATTAATTTAGCTTCAAATTTTAGATTTCATCACGAGGGATCTTTGGAGAGCTGTCTCCTCTTATTTTGGGACTCTTCACCTGCAAATAATTCGAATCCTCACAAATCTGATTATGTAAATATCGATTTCCCATTCACTGATTGCTTCTGGATGGATGTCCAGAAGGTGTAGTGAAAAGTTGTGACCATTGAGGTCCACTATGGCAAGATGAAATGGATACTCATTGGTGAGGGTAGTGCCACATCATGAGTCGACAAAGTTAGAATTCATGGGTCATTAAATTTCAGCCCAAGTGACTCTATGGCCAATGAACTTGGTCCCGGCTCCGGTCACCGGTGGGTCTTTGAATGCGCAGTGATGAAGAGTCCAAAGAAAGGACGAAATAGCTATCCAATACTCCCTGGTTTTAAATTATCCCCTTAACTGATGTTGGTTCATGATGAGATCTGACATTTGGAATTAACGTTTATTTTCATGTCACCAAAATTAACAGTTTCTCACTTAACTCTTGATTTTACCATCATATGGTCACAAGAATTTTACATGTTACATGTTACATTGTTCACACTAGTCTCTACACACAACTTAAATTTCTCCAGTTCTCATCAATATAACTGTCTTATTACTGTCATGCTTAACATGGATGCTGCATTTATTCTGTTTGCATAAACCTACCTGCATACATGATTGTTATTAACTGTGCTGAAGATTTTATGTTATTACTGTTACTTGACTTGCTCAGGTAGGTAATTCTCTTATTTATTTATTGTGTGTGTGTGTGTGTAAGATGAATGTGTTGCCTGGTTGATTTTCTCCACAGCCCTAAATGGAATTCAGTCACATGGTTTTGTGTTAACTGTTGTTTTTGGTTTGGAAATGGAATTTATTTCTTCTTGTCTTCATTCATTATTATTATTATTGTTTTTCTTGTCTTACAAAAATGGATAAACTTACTTAAAGCCCAAATTAGACTAAGTATGATGAGTATTGAGTGTCAGATTGGAATTCAGTTTCTTATTTTATAACTGTGAATTATAAAGGCGTATACGAGATGTGCTGGCCCCTAGATGCCCTAATAGGTGGTGATGCTTTCTGTTAGTGGTTCAATGATAGAATGCTTGCTAACCACCCATGTGGTATGGGTTCGATTCCCACATGACACACTCTTACACCTCATTGAGGCGGTAGTAAACCAGATAAAGAAGTTGGGGTGGGAGGGAGGCTAGCAGCTCTATCTTGTAGAAGGACAGCGTCATCCGCACTGTAACTTCAAAGCTGAAGCTGGAAGCTGTATGTTCCACTTGGAACGTAAAGGAATGAAAGAATAATAGGAGATGCTACATTGCTTTACTTAACTACTGTATACCATGAATAAGTAATATCTTTGATTTATTGTTAATTTTCGTTGATGCATATCTGAGAAAAGCACTTCCTATTTTGGAAACATAGAATGTCGAATAAAAGTTACACATTTAATTACCAATTATTTTTACAATTTTTTTGGTGTACTTGAAATTAAGTAATCCAAACGTCTTATTCAGCACAGGTTTCCTATGAAAATGAGGACTTTAAGAAACAGATTTCCATTGATGTTTAGTAAAAAAAGAGTTAACTGTTCATCATTTGAAATGCTTCACTTCATGATGTTTAACATGATATTGGTGTGCGTTGGTGGTTCAACGGTAGAGTGCTGGTCGATCATGCACGTGGTCCGGGGTTCGAATCCCACCCAGCATACACCTTTACCTCCCTCAGCTGGTTATAATTCTGACATAGAGAGAAGTTCGGGAGTGAGGCTAGCAACCCAACTCCGTAAAAAAATACCACCACTAGTGAAACTTTGAAGCTCTAGCTTGAAGCCTTATGTTCCACTGGGAACGCAAAGAAATACAAAAAAACAACATGATATTGAAATGATTGCTAATAAAGAACCTCCAGGTTGTTTAAAACAGACTTTACTAGAACTATTGAAAACCGTTTTGTGCTACACTACATTTTTTCTTATGTATAACTACCCAACAATAAGCCCCTGTCATAATTATTTACAGATAGTTGTGAATAGTGGACAACCGAATTTGCAATTTTCAAGTCGAGGATTGCAAATTAACCACAATTTCCTCTGGAAACTAAGAATATTCAGATCACAATGTGTAATGTACTTGAGAGTAGAAATGGCAATCAAGAAAGCAAGAATAAAATGCTTGCTGGAATATACTCCTGATTAGTTATCGGTAATTGAAAGCCACTCACACACCAAACATTGGTGGTACCATCTGTATACCTTATGGTTGTTTCACTAGTCTGTGGCCGAGTTTATCAGTGATGTATGTGGTTTGACTCAACTGAGAAAAAAAAGCGAATCAGTTACATCCAAATGAATTCCGATTAGCCAGCTGAACGAACCTGACTGATAGAATTCAGTCTGCACCGAAGAAAGGACTAGACACGTCACACTAGTTACTAGTGTCCAATCAAAATACCCACTACGAGCCCGAATAACTCAGTGGCAACGTCTCTGATTGCAGCCTCACTGGGCGACGCGGGTTTGAATCTCAGAAGGGACATGAGTTCCTTCAAGGTTGCAGATACGCCTTGCTTATGACTGCCATTTAGCACAAAACCTAGGTCCAAGGCTTCCTGCCGATTGCCTCCAACTATCTAATATCATCAAATCAATGTGCACCGTGATGGTGGGCTACCTAGAATGATAGCCACATTACATACCTGACTGGTAGAATTCAGTCTGCACCAAAGAGAGGACTAGACACGTCACACCAGTTACTGGCTAGTGTCCAATGAAAAGAACCGGTAATTCGTCATTTTTAAATAATACAGCTCAAGGTCAAACGGAATAGACTACTGACGATCGAAACTGGAGTTTAGATCATTCCAATCCGTCTAGGAAGTTCTATTGTTTGACAGGAGTGGTTTCCAACAGTTCATATCAATAGATAATATATGAAAATGTAAGGATATGAGAAAAGACGACGGTGGTAACTTATTAAATATGATTGTGAATACATTTGGTTCAAGATGTTAGAAGCTTAATTTAATTGGTTATGTCACAAACCGATAATTTCTTATCCATTACATGTTAGTACCATGGATAACTTCGCTACAGTTTTAGTGCATGTTCCGAATATTCTATTCTATTCTGGGCCAAGTTCATCTTTATGCACCAGTAAATACCAATGCAGTGAGACCGTACCAATGACCTTGAAACTCTCAGTAGACAAGTTAGTGAAACCTAGTAAGTAATTATGAATAAAATATGCTTAATGAGATGTTGTGTTATTAAATGGGATAATAAGTTAAGGCTTAAACTAAGGACAGGTTAGGTTAACCTAATGAGGGCGACGTTAGGGTTGGTTCGATATAGATTAGGGTTAGTTACGGGATATTTTCATGTTAGGGTTAGGTTAAGGAAAGATTAGGGTTAGAAGACCAAATAATTACATGCACAGAATGTGGTTTAATTACTCTCTTTACACTCCAATCCGAAAATCAGGGGTATTTTTGTCACACTTCAGAGAAAGGTATCCTGTGTAACAGTTTAATACCTTTTAATTCGTTATTTTCATGAATATACGTATTTAGTAGGCGAAAATCGCCTTTATCACGTGGCTGATGCGTTCAAGGTCGTTTGTCTGTCTTTACCTGCTAGTGCTTAAAGTTTAACTCTGTCCTATTCTGTTTATGATAATTACTGTTATCATTGGGGTGTTCCTTAAGCTTTTCAGCGGGATTGGGAAAACCTCAGCCCACTTGTGTTAAAACAAAGTAAGCTGAGACTGCCAACGATATACACATCTTGATGGAAAACGTTGGAAATTAGCTGAAATAATGTAAATTCACTCGATCCTTGTGTTTCTTTAGAGTTTATTAGTGGTGGTTTTCCCCTAACGTTGATGAACATGTTTTGCTGGTGCTTGTTTCTCCTCCTTCTTTTGGTAGTATTCATTTACTTCTTTTCTCTTAGTCTCTTGATGCTAAGGCTTGACTGTCATATGGCGGTCGAAATGGACAGCGAAATGGTGTTATTTGAATTGGAAAATTTTAGAGAAAACAAATTAAACAATACAAAGTAATTATACAGGATGACAACCTCGTGTATATGTTATAGAAATGTCTTCCAGTTCGTCAATGAAGTTAATGGTGTTAGTCCGAATCAATTTTTGTACATGAGTTCATCGAGGCGACTGTATATCATTATCATTTTGTGATCCTTTTCATTTCTTGAATCCTGCGATTCAAATGATCCAATAATTGTTTTATGAAAGTGGTGTTGTTGATCCCGTGCAACCGATCAATAAAATCAGAAGGATGTTTTACATTGTTGTGAATGTACCCTGATGACGATAACCATTATTAACCACTCCATTCATCCACGTGAACAATTGTTACCGGCTAACCGAAAACATTAAGTAATTTGTATTAATACATTTGTGATACGGTCAGCGATTTGCTTCAGAAGTCCTTTCCGTATCTAGTTCGTCATTTGGTCGATCGTTCGTTTGGGTCGCTGCGCTTTAGTCTTACCGATATTGGATATAAGTCTTTCAGTTTTTTAATTGTAGAGCTTTTGACAGCGTTATTGTTATAGAGAGAATATTTTGACTTTGCATAAGATAAGTATAATTCTTTTTCGGTCAGCACGTTCACTGTTCGTTTGAACTAAATATGATATCACCCCCATATCTGTCACTTAATGGGAGACAGTTTTTGTTTATTCGAATCTGAAAACCCCACACTCTAATATTTAAAGTACTTTGGTTTTTAAGCCTTTTTTGTTCTTATGTGAAAAGTAATTTTAAATGATTGCGTGTTCACACTTGACATGATAGCACTATTAACAAAACTGTAATTTGCACATGATACGGAAATGCCAATAGGTAACTCGACTGAAAACTGAATACCAAATACTTTCTGGTCCATGAATCCACGAGAAAAAACCCAGAAGGCAGACTGGATCGAGTCAGTGGAACAACTCACTATCTCAGACAAAATTATCTTGTATTTATACGCTAGCAATACTCGGAAGGTTAAGCCAGTGAAATAACTAATTTGATTGGTTAAATTAAGTCGGGCACATGATTGTCCAATCACATTACAATACGTCTCCAGCCTCTGCCCTGCAGTTTAATTTATCGATTCTAGTTTAAATCGGCTTTAGCCTGTACAATGTAGTTATTTTTCGATTAGATAAAATTGGGCATATATAAATGAAAGCATTATTTCTCTCCTAATTTCTGTTCGAGCTGAGTTTCATCACTGTGTGCTGTGAATTAACCCTAATTTAAGAAATATTGTTCTGTCCGCTTTCAAATCGAATATTGTTCGATTATACTACAAGTAAGTAGTTGGCGTTCTGTCCTGTATCTAACTCTAACCAACTAATACTTCGTTTTTAAAGATATATACATTTTTGATCTTTGTAAACAAAGTATTTGTTTTCATATTTATTATTTAAAACAAAAATAAACAGGGATGAAGCTCCTCCAGTTCAAGGTCCGATAAATCGTGAACCAGATGAAAAACTCTATGGCACATCCAGATCAAATTTAGGCGTCAAGAAATTGTAAGTTGCACTACTTGTTTAAATTTGTTAAAAAGAGAAAAATCAAGTGGTTTTTTTCAGGGATATTATCAGTTTCAAACTGGATCTGGGATTACGAAGACAGTGACAGACGTAGTATGAGTCAACAAACCTATCATCTCCGTCTTGATCGATCATTGTCCAGTGTGGTTAGGGAAAGGAGTCATAAGGTCAATCAGGAATTCCATATTAGCACACCTAGTGGATATGGAGTACAAGATTGATAACAATTCAGCCTTTTTTCGTTCTATACAAGGTGCCATCTAAATTCTTTAGGTTTTTACACCTTGTTATCATTATTATGATCACCTTGGTTATTATTATCCACTAACCACTATGTCTGAACTCTATTATAACCACAACAGTTACAAATATCTATAACTAATAATTGTATTACGTAATTGCCGAAAATTCGTATTTGCGCAAATTGTGTTCGCTAATGACTGACTGGTTTCAACGTAGAACTTTGCACCGATTTGCAGCAGTTCCAGCTGCCAAAATCCCTCTATATAGCACACAAAGCAAGAAAGGAGAATAAGGAGAGATTCAAAAGAGAGGTATAATAAACAGAAATGTGATGCAAAAAGAATAGTAATATGGAAGAACAATAGAATTTTATTAGATGTGACAAATCACAAAAAGTGAACGCATTTGCGCCACTGAGAATGATTTTGAGCCATATCACTAATAGTATTTTATTTATTTATTTATTTTTTATTTGATTTACAGCTTGATTCCACACCGTATTTTCAGTACAAGTATGGAATTTTCAGCATGGATATCGGTTGCCCAAATTCAGGCATACCATAGATATCGGGTGTGCGCCGGCAGGGGATCGAACCCCGGACCATGTGCATGGTCGGCGAGAGTCCTAACCACTGTGCCACCGACGCAGTATCCAACCCTCATTGATTCTTACCGTCCCGAGGACACCGACCAGGAAGTCTACGTTTTCCTACCTGACTTAAACTAACTGTTGTAGATTTGAAGAAAATAAAAGACAAATTCAGAGAAGAAAATTTTCTGTATCGAAGAAATCATCTTCAGAGGCTGTACAGTCGAATTTATACTTACCAAAAATGTATAGTAGTCTATTATTGAGTAATAGGGCGTGACATAATTGATATAATTATTCAGAAGTGGCTTTAGAAGTAAACAATAAAAGTTGTAAATTACATAGTACTTAACGGCACGAAGTTAGAAATTCGATAAAGTTAAAATTCCTATTGAGTGAGAATAAAGGTGGTAGTTGAGTGTCAATGTAACAAGTGTAAAGAGGGTGTGAAAATGTACAAAAGGAGCATATGACAGTGATAATAGTGAAATAATTATTAAAGCAAAAGCAAACTAAGAGTAAAATTAAAAAGAAAAAAAGAAAAGAAAAAATCAAAATTTTTTTACAGGGAACGACTAGTGAAGAAGTTAAGACCAAGGTAGAATAGGAGACTGGACCAACTTCCTCTGTATACAGAGTTGATGAATTGCCAGCGCCTCCGCCATACACAAAAGCTGAAACCTGACGCCCTTTGTACCATTTGGCCTCACATTGTAGATGATCTTGAAAGACGACTCTGGTGGTGCTACGTGGCCTGAGTTCACTAAATGCTCGAGAATTGAGCTAGTAACTGTCTTGCATTGTCCCTTTGCTAACCATGCCGGATAATGTTCAGAGATGCGTTTGGAAAGTGTGCACTTCATGAGGCTAATATAGCTAGCTTCACACCAGCAGGTGAATTTATAAACACACATTGAAGTGGCCCAAAGCGTCAGTTTATCCTTCACACATCCATTGATCATTTACTGGCTGCAGAAATTGATTTGTAGCTCAGCCGAAGAGGCTTTTCTCAGAGGTCTGCAACAGCGGCTCTCCAGGATCTCAGCAGCGTACCACTTTTAAATTCAACGTTCATAAATAGCACTTGCTTTGGCACCATCTGGGTTCTTTCAGGCATTTACTTTTACTTCATGTTTTTCTCGATAAATCTTGGAGGATATCCATTCTCTATGAGGACTTGTCTGAGTCGCCCCAGTTCCCCATAGATTGTATCACTGGAACATATCCTGGAGGATGACTCAATGGGTATTTTCAGTGTTGAGGATTTCATTGACTGATGAAGCCATGTTTTGGTTTGACCACCAGTAGCTCTTTTCCATCCTGATCATATATCAGCTAAAATTGCCCGTCGACGAAGGCGATAGCTAGCCTGGGCATGCGTAACACATTTCTTAACCATCTCAGTAGGTGTAACTTCATAACTTCGTTGATTGCTTTCCCCTCCTTACCTAGCACTCCACCAAAGCCTAACCTCAATATTGCTCACTTTATTATTACCACTTAACACGGTTTCCTAATAGTAAAAAGAGGCGAATAATTTTTCTATAATGTATAACGTGACCAAATAAATTTGATGTAAGACGTAAGAATCTATACCGCTGAATATTTCAGTTCTAATAACCTACATCAATATTCATGGGGCATTGAGTCAAAGAACATAAGTTCTCTCACTGTTTCAACGAAATTCAATACATCCAAGAGAACTCCTGAATATATATATATATGCAGTGATCTTGTCGAATAATTAACAGGCTGCGTAGTTTGAAAAATTCACTGACCAATTAGAGCTCAGCCTACTTCAAAGAAGTGGGAAAATTAAAGCAGCACTCAGATGACACAAAACCTGTTCGTCGAAATTTAAATGAAAAGCATTTCCGTGTTACAGACAGACAGTGTTGAGGATGAGTGAGGTATGGAGGGAAGAGTGGTGGTGGGGGGGGGGGGCGAGATATAACACGGTTTTTCAATTTCACAGACTTTAAATATATATATTTGTCAAATTCACTGTTTTTTTTGTTTTGTTTGAGTTAATTCAACTTGCAGTGTTTGTTGCATATTTCGCATTTTGAGTACAATATTTTCTTCCCTATTTTATCTTTCTTTATTTTCTGTGATTTTTGTATTCGACAGTTTCGAGAGTCTGATTTCCAAATTAAGTCGATAACCTACCGTCCAACTCTATGCAGACTTGTTTTTAGGATTATATTCACGTGTATAATGATGTTGTGGTAAGTTGTCAAATGTGTCTGTGTATATATATGCTTACTCATTCACTTATCATATTAAAAAATATTATATATTATATATTCCATATTCTGCATATAGCAATGCAAATCTATTATGCAGTGACAATCATTCATTCAATTGGCGAAAAAGATTTTTCAAGTTTCAGGCCTATCAGCCAACCAGCCACACGATTATTGTGTGACGTAGCGGAAAGTGACATTCAGACACAGGAGAAAATTAAGCAGAGAATATCCTTTTCGATAATTTCCTCTTCTGGCTCTACAATAATATATATATGTATATGTATATATATAGAATGTTCTAGAATAATCATCGTCAATATTGGCATTTTTAAATACTATCGATTTGTTAAGTAAGATCAATGGAATTACAGTTCACGAAAGATGCATAAATTATAATAAGCATAAAAATGTAATAGTAAATAGAATATCAAATAAAACTAAAGAAATATCCACAATCCCGATGGCCAAGGCAGGGACAATGTTGACATAGATGTTTCGTCTTATGAGTTCTTAGCAGCATACAAAGTCCACTGTTTCTATAGTGAATTGGTACATTGGTGAATAAGGAAGATATCATGAATTGTTCTCCGCTAGTTTGATTGTCCCCGCAATGATTGTCAGGTCAGATACATGGGTCAAACTAGTAGAACAGGGCCAGTCACACTAGCAGAGCACAAAAACGTAGCAAAATTGATTATTTGACCGTAATAAAAAAAGAAATCTGAAGAATAGGTCAGCTATAGCGCTCACTACATGCAATTACATACAACCATACAATAGGATGATGGGATAAGATGACAGTTTTAGAATCTAATGTCACAGGGTGGAGGGAGAGATTGATAATGGGAGCTTTGTTTATCGAATCAACTGAAAATACTACGTACAGTAGAAATGATTCAACACCTGTCCCAAACATCTGAAAAATTCTACTACCCATACGATGAATATGAAGGGATAAAGAAAACTATAAAACGAGAGCTTCGAAGTCGTGTGATTATAATTGATGATATGATTATGAACAATACCAGATTGTGTTCGAAAGTGTTTCATCCAGTAAATAAAACTGTTTCACTGTGTGATATATCTGGTTTGATATTACTTTGCTGAAGTATATGTGTAAAACTTGGGCACTGTGGTAGTAAGTAATTCCGTATTAGTTTGTTTATTAGATGTAGCACACAGTGAAACAGTATTATTGTATACTGGATGACGAAGTTTCGAACAAAATTTATTGTTCATAATCATTTCATCAATAATAATCACACGACTTCGATTATGAACAGTAATAAATTTTGTTCGAAATGTCATCCAGTAAATAATACTGTTTCACTATGTGATACGTCTAATAAACAAACTTATATGGAATTACTTTGCTATCTGAATTAAGTAGGGGAACGTCAGTTGACTATTGGATTTCATTTTTCCACTCTTCCTTAAATTTTGTTTTAATACATTTAAAGTCCTCATCCAATCATCATTCCTGTTGCGTTCATCAGGTTTTATTTTCACAAGTGCTAGTTGACATGGATGCGATCGAATTCAACTTAGATCACGAACTGGCATCAGTTAGAGAGTCACTGAAAACCAACAATTACTAGTTATCTACGTCGTCCTAATTTTGATCTCTTCATCAGCACGAACTCATGAACTCACCGGGAGTCAAGCCCCAGGACCTTCAGATTTTGAGGCGAATTTTGTTGAACACTGAGTTACTGGGATGAAATCCAATGGCTGGTACATGAATTATAACTTCTGCCTACTCGTGATGTATATAGTACCATCATCAGCTAATGTCATGAGCAAGTGTCAGTCGTTACACCTAACTTGTCAGTCTTCCACCAGTCCTAACTTCTTACTAGACCTCCAGGAACTCGATCCCGTAGTCAGCTAGTAATGGGCAGTATTTTGGTCTACAGGTTTTGATTTCTACGGATTTGACCGATTTCAAGTCAGATTACAAAATGTGATAGACTAAAGAGCAACTCAGTGATCCACAGGAATATCAGTATAACGCATAATTTTTTGAACGATAGATTTAGATCAACGCTTACAGTACTAGACTGATTGATTACACTGACCCTAAGTCTAACAACGTATCAGCATGCATATATATATGCGTCGGTGGCACATTGGTTAGGACTGTCGTCGACCAAGCACATGGTCCGGGGTTCGATCCCCTCCCGACACATACCTGATATCAATGGTCGACCTGCGAAATTTGGGCTACTGATATCACATGCTTGTACCAAAAATACGGTGTGGAGTCAAGCTGTAATCAAAATAAAAAGGATTATATATATATATATATATATATATATATATATATAATGGAGAGAGAGAGGGTTTGGGTTAATCATCATTAGTGTTTAAGCATTCCATTTTTGGCCATTAGGTTCCGTTATGACAGAATGTTACTATTTTTGTGGTTGTCGTCTAACTTGACTAGAATGTACCTCCAAACAACACACTGTCACCAACTGATCACTTGAAAATACTCCCACACACTAAGATAGAGACAATAGTCAGATTTAACTGTGACAACAACTTTCAATTATTCAAAATACATCCGCAGAAATTTAAACCACAAATAAATAATCAATACCTGATCGATTGGTTGATTGATTGATTGTATAACCTTAAAGATCCCCCAAGAATAGACCTATCAAAAACTGCCTGATCAGGTTATTATGCCAATGCAGACATCAATTATAACTTCACGAATAACAACGACAGGTTATCCGTTGTCCTAACAGGTCCCGGGTTTCTGTCCCACTTCATCTAATTCAATTTAAACAGCTGGGCATTTGTAGTAGTCGTGTTTAGCTGCCATACAACGTGTATGTCACATAGGCTAAATATTTATACTTTTTCATCTTTAGTTATTGATTCAATGAACAAATACTGAGATGATCAACTGGTTTCATTAAAGCTAATTGATTCCTAGGACTAGGAAGATGTGTCGCATCACATTATTCTTGCTCTAAAAATCACACTGACCCATTTCGAGGAAACAATAAAATTAGATGAATCAATGGCCGTGAAGCTAAGCTTCTAATTCAGAGTGACCAGGGGGGAGAAAATTAGGTAGGTGTGAAATAACAGAGAAGAGATTTCAAGAAAAAAACCCAATAATTTGCCTCACGTGTATTGTTGCAGTTACATAGAGTAGGATGAGATATAGTTGAATATCTAACCTGATGGATTTTTAGTTAAATCACGAACTTCGGGGATCGGACGAGAACCGGTGCTTTCAACGTGGTATGGTCACGAACTGACTTCAGTTTGGGATGCACTTCCTAGAGTTGTCATCAAAAGTGGGGTCCACTAAATCAGGTGTAATAACAGATACTGGTTGATAACAATGACTGGCGGTTATGACATATGCATCGCGAATCGGCAGAATTTAGAATTCACGAGGCGGTAAATGGGTTCCCTCTCAGTGGTTGAATAGTCAACGGTATCGTTTTGTTACCTGAAGGTTGTAGGTCCGACCCCTTTGGGGCTTATGCGTGCATACTTCTGATGTGTCCCAAATTAGAATGAAATATTTGTCAATTACTTCTGCATTTTCAGTGATGTAACCTTGCGAACTATTTCTTGTGAACAAGTCTTATGTGCCAAACGTTTTGGTACTAATAATAATAGTAATAGCTTTATTCTGAACAGTGTTTACATCGTGTCCAGAACTTTCAGAGGAGTCAACTGCACGATATTTTCTCTTCGTGCAGGATCTTCAGGTAAAAATATTAACTGATAGTAGATCCTGTTATGGTGAGAGCTGGCTGCTAGCCAAAGTTAGTAGACAGTAATTGACGTCAATGTTTATGTCCCCAATATTCGTGGTAAGAAAATGAGAACAAAGGCTTTGCGTAGGCGAATACAGTTAGCATATGGATGATCTGACACAACCACAAAGAGATGCAAGGTTAACCTTCTGTGAGAAACAACCAATCAAAAGACTGTATTTTCTACTAACAATAATCTACAATAATGTACATTAAAATCTATAAATATGTGTTGATTTTCCTTGATAAACGATCTGTTGCCTAGCCCTTGTCTTCTGTTGTTACTCTGTGACACAGTACTATCTGACCTGAAGTGCAAACCAATCCACTATGATATTTCTACTTTGCTACCTTCGAAAAACGCACGACATTCGTTTTGAAAGCCAATTTTGAAAAGTTCAGGAGTACATTTTGAAATTCAAGGAATATACCTGAGGAACGGACAGTTATCTCATGTATTGCGATACGCTGACCCCCATGATTATGCTTTTTCTCACATGTTTAGTAGAAACTTGCAAATCAGCAGGTTTTAAAAAGCTTAAATAATTGCGATAGTAGATAATATAATTAGATCACGAAAAATACCCATTTATTCATAAGTAAGAAGAAATTTCTTTTCAACGACTTCATTTTCAAGCCAACTGTACAGTCGTATTTAAATTACAGAAAAAGGTTATTAAGTGGCACTAAATAATTGCTGAGTCAATATACATATATAAGTGATAAGAATAACGATAATTAAAATGTTATAAGAGGTAGAGTTGAAGTGGATAAGTTACAAAATTATTAAAGATTGTTTTATAAGTGAATTGAAATCAAAAATGTTTTAAAAATGTCAAGTGTTGTCTAAAAATTTTAAAAAATTAGGAGTACGATTACGATAAGAATGAAGATGTGAAGTGAAGTGGAATGAATTCAAGTGGTAAAGTAAAATAAAGTAGAAACTAGAAAGAACATTACTATGACCAAGGTAAAGAAAGGGGTTTGACACAATGTTTTTGAACACATAATTTAGGTTTCTGTTCATGTATAGGTAAAGCTTCGGCTATGCATAAGTGAAGAAAACGTAAACTTTTGGATCGATTCGATTTTGCCATGTAGATAACTTTGAAAGATGAATCACGTGGGGCTAAATGACCTAACTCTAACAGGTGATCACAAATAGGCGACTTCGCAGTTCCACGTTCGCCTTTCATTAAAACCAGACTGGATAGTGTTCAGCTACACGTTTTCGGAGATTACGCTTATAACGTCCAATATAAACAGCAATTATTTAGTGCCACTTAATAACCTTTTCTGTAATATAAATACAACTGAAGTCGTTGAAAAGAAATTTCTTCGCTGAACAAAAAACTGTGTTTTTACTTATGAATACAATTAGAGCCTATATTTTAATCAGTTAAAATACAATATAGTGATGGAGGCTTTTGGCAGCCCAAACTTTTAACAAGCCTCCGTGTTTGTGGTTGTTTGCTTGACTTAAAATGTTTTTCTATCTCTTTACAGAAGCTGTCATTCGCTTGGTGGAACATACGTATATAAGGAGAATCTACTTGATTGATTTATTGATTGATGGATTGATTGATTGATTGACTGGTCTCACCTCCATTCCAAATGAGAGTGATAGAATCTCTTTTTTAATTGTTGTTGTTTGTTTGTTTGTTTATTGTTCATTTGCATATATTTTGTTATTTTTATTTCTTTCCGGTTCGAAAAAAAAATAATCTCATGCTTATTTGCATTTATGATTCTGACTACTTCAATTGAAAATGACTTTTAATATATATATATATATACGTACATACATACTTATGCCATATATTTCAGCTTATTTGTTTATTACCAAAGTTAATATATTAGTTGACAATCCTATGGCCATTATTGTCTGTCTCTCCCCCTCCCCACGCCTCTTCTCTTCTGTTCTCCCCCCCCTCTTCCTTGTTTTCCTCTTCTTTTCCCTTAATTTTGTGTATTGCTGGCTTGTCTTTTGCTTATTTTTCCGTGTGATAAAAACCTACTCCTGATGATGACGTTGATAATTTATCAATAACAATTATGACAATAATATTGGTAATAAATAATAATAATAATAATCGATATACTGATATTCAGAGAGAGAGTGAGAAAAAAAGAATCATTCCATTTCTCCTTATGCTTATTTCCATGTCCACACACATCTACAGACTGGCATGCCCACATACACACACTCTCTCAGTCACATGCATAATATATACAGGAGAAAAGAAAGGCGCAATTAAACCTCTTCTTTCTTTGTCTCGCTGTGCTTGTCTTTCATTGAATTTTTAAGCATAACTAACCTCATTTATATACCTCTCATTATTATTATTATTATTCGTGTGCATTCCATAATCACATCCTCATCATCATAAAACTTATTATGTTGTTTTCTGTGTAATATCATTGATTTTTCATATATATAACACGAATATAATTTGTTTCATTGTGTCGAATTCTTATTGTTACATCACTGTAGTCAGTTTTGTTTTTTTTGTTTTGAATTATTGATTATCATTACTATTTTTATTATATTATTATTGATTTATCTATCATTGACTCGTTTTGTTTGCCTCATTCCCATTTTTATTTAATCGACCAGTCAATTGATTAATTAATCAATATTTTCGAATTTAAAATGACTGTAATTGAGAGTTGTTATTATAGATAGTAAGTAGTATGTATTGATTTATTTTCTTCCTCTGCTTCTTCTTCCCCTTCTGGTCATCATCATTGTGTTAACTTTCACACCATCGTCTTTGTGTGTGTGTGTGTGATTATAATATAATTTGTGATAAATGATCGATGTTTCTGCTGACTTTATTTTTATTTTTTTTGATTTACTCTTGTTCTCTTTATTTCTTTTTACTTTCATAATCATGTTTGTTGCTGGGGTTGTATTTTTTATTGCTCCGAAAGTATATTTTTTTTACTTATATTCATCTACTTTACTATATAGCGCTTAATTTATATACACATATGCATGCATATTTATATAATTATATATGTGAACAGTTTTGACTTCATTATGATGTTGTCTGTACAATGTGTATAATGTGAATCACAAATGTAAGAGAATTATAAATAAAGTTAAATTAGACTGAAGGTATTGCGTTCCTTTTATTATTATTATTAGTAGTATTAGTATTAGTATTGTTTCCTTTAATTCCTAGAGGAACATAGGGCTTCAGCCGTGCGTCTCCATTGCGTTCAGTTCTCTGCTAGAGTCTTCACCTGGCTCCAAGTCTGCCCGCACGTTTTCATCTCCTCTTCACATGACCTCCTCCAAGTCACCCTTGCACTGACGACCAACTCGCCGCTTCCCATTCAGTTGGGTTCCACTCGAGCAATGGCTTGTCTAGTGATGTCACTTGATGGTTTCCTCAGAGTATGGCCAATCCATCTCCATTTCTTCCTGCCTATTTGTTTCACAATCGGTTCCTGTTGGGTTGGTTCGCTCCCAGAAATCTCTGTTGCTGATCTTTTCTGTCTGGCCATCTGATCTTGAGTATTGAGCGAAGACAACTGTCAATGAAGGTCTGTAGTTTGTTTGAGATGCTCTTTATGACGCGCAGTGCAAATCTCTTATCCGTATAGTAGCACTCACTGACTTCACATTGGAGTTGAAAATCCGGATCTTATTTTTCATGCCTAGTAGTGCTGTTGACCTCCAAAGAGACTTGAGAGTAGTGAAAGCTTGTCTTGCTTTCCCGATCCTCGCTTTCATATCCTCATCAGTTCCGTCCGCCTGTAGTTGAAACGATGCTTCCTAGGTAGGTAAAAGAGGTTGTTTCTTTTAGGTTCCTCCCATTTATGCTGATCGTTGTCTGTTGTTGTTGTTCTTGTCCAGGAATCTTCATCACCTCTGTTTTCTCTATGTTCACCTGAATTCCTATCTTTGATTCTTTTTCTGCCAACTTGTTGCTTTTCGCCTGCATATCTTCCAGTTTGTGAGAAATCAGACATATATATTCGGCGAATTCCATATCCTCCAAGTTTTTTGTGTGAATCCATTCTATTCCTGTTTCCTCATTGCCCTCTGTTTGGCATTCCTTTTACTGCCTTCTAAATCTTATCCACAGTATTAATGTTTGTTTTTGTTTTCCTTTTTGAAATGAAGATTTCTAAAAAAAAATTGGATTAGTGCGTCGGTGTCACAGCGGTAGAATGCTCGCCTGTGGTTCGATCCCTGGCCACCAATGCACTCCTTTACCTCTCTAAGCCAGTAATAAAACTGGTAAAGAGGGAAAATTGGGTATAAAAATAAAACCACTGTTACCGAAACTTGAAAGCCTCTAGCTTGAATCCCTATGTTCTACTGGGGACGTAAAGGAATAAAAAATAGTGGGATCGGTAAGGTTGTATAGCTTCATCGACTGAGATGGTTAGGATATGTGTTATATATACCAAGTCACTACTTTCCATGCCGGGGAATGTTAACTAATGTAGAATTAGGTTAGAAAAGGGGGTTAGGAGATGATAAAATCAAAATCGATGTCATCTCCCGATCAAACTTGTAACCAATGAAATCCCGGCAAACGAATACTTGAAAATATCAAGTTATATCATCAGCTTTTGTTTTGAGTCATATTTGAGATGGAGTTCCTGAGGTTCTGTTGGGAAATCGTCCCTTGGTGGTGGTAGTCCACCAAGTTGGGTGTGACGACAAATACTCTCCGATAACATTGGCTGGTGCTAAGGCTGTAAACATCGCCAATTGGCAGAAGTTAGAGCTCTTTGGCTTGCATCCCAATAGCTGAGTGGTCAATGGGATCACTTTGTAACCCGAAGGTTCTGGATTCGATCCCTATTACAGTTATGAGTGTCTGCTCCTGAACTGTCTCCAACTATGGCGAAATATCCGTGGCTTTCGGTGACTCTCTAACTGATGTCATTTTGTGGTCCAACTCGTGAACAATCAAATCCCTTCAACGCTACAGGCTACTTATACCATTTTAATTGATTTAGGATGCCCGTTAAAAAATTTAAAAGACTGAGCAGTAAATATTGTTTCCGATAAATTCTTCCTCAGGTTCTACATTTATATCACAGTAATGATCCAAGCAATATTCTTATTAACAATATTATTGCTTTTCAAGTGTCGGTTTGTAGGGACTTGATTGGTTACAGGATTTTCATCATGAGCTGACATTAGTTAGAGATTCATTGGAACCATTGGGTCGCGCTATGTCGTGAATTAGCAGAAGTTAGAATTCATGGGCTGGCCATTGGATTGGTTCCCAGTGGCTTAATGGTATATGAGCTCGCCTTGTGACCAGAAAGCCCTGGGTTCGAACCCTGTTGGTGGGTGCGTACTGGTGAAGAGTCCCAAACTAGGACGAAACAGCTGTCCAGTACTCCCTGCAGGTTTTCCAATGGTTCTCTAACTAATGTCAGCTCATGATGAAAATCCTGTAACCAATATTATTGCTGTTTTAAATAACATCGAATCGATAATATCGACAGGTTAAACTTGAAAAGCATCATTAAGAAGGAGAGAGAGAGAGAGATAATATGCATCGATAGAACACTAAAGTGAATATCAGATAAATTGAGGAAAGTAACACCGAATTTATGAATTTAAAGGCGGGACAGCAGGTCATGATGGTAATAATGGCTTTACCTGTTTTTTGCACACATACATAGTTCCAGTTGATCTAAGCGAATTGCGAATTGTAGTGCGTCGGTGGCATAGCGGTTAGGACGCTCGTCGACCATCCGCATGGTCCGAGGTTCGATCCCCAGCCGACGCACTACCTTACCTCGCTAAGCCAGAAATAATGATGGTGAAGAGGAAAGGTTGGGCATGTGGCTAGCAACCCCATCCTGTAAAAATAAACACTGCTACAGAAACTTCAAGCCACTAGCCTGAAGCCCTATGTTGCACTGGGGAACGTGAAGGAAAAAAAATAAGCGAATTGCAAAGGCCTCTGATGTTTGGAGTGTTCGGCACCTAGAGGCCTCTGGCAGTTTAATCGATCCCTGATTGATGATAGAGAAAGACTCTTCAATGTGGTTAGCTTTGTGACGTTTTTCGGACCAGACGGTCCAATAAAGAACTATTGGTGGTTTTAATAACACCATTATTTAACCCCACCGGTAGGTGTTCCTCAGCAAGCGAAAATGGAGTCTATAGAATAAGCGACCAATATAACTGGATCTTAAACAACATGTATATTGGAATGAATCTAGATCTGTACTCTCAAAAAATCAATAAAGGCAATTTTTCTTATTTATGACACCGGAAATTCTCAATTCATCATCATTTTAAAGCTAACCGGATGTATAGTATGTTGTATAAATTTACATTTATGTTCTTCTTTTTCTCTCTCTCTCTTTAATGTACGCATACATTCCAATTATGATTTACTGAGCAATATAATTAATAAAACATCTAACTGGACATAGTCATTACGTCAGTGTACCAAAACTGTTTTAACGCCTTCAATGTAATTAAAATAGTTTTTATGTAGTAATAGCGTGTGTGTGTTTGTATGTCTTTGAAATGAAATCCAGTGAGTGATTCATACATTACTCCCGCCCACATAAACATTAGTTTAAAGTTAAACTTGTAAACACAATATCACGTGAATGTTGATCAGATGTGTAGTTCTGTGCACTACTTATTTGTGGCTAAGTATATTTTGTCACCAATACACATTGGGTTGCAGTAGCATTGAAAGCCAGAGAGCATTGGATTGTAAGGCTACTCAGCTGTGTCTACCTATTTTCACTCAATTTGTCGTTTCCTATTCGGCTTCAGGTTGACGGCCTGCCTCATGACGGCGCTTAATGGTCTCCTCAGCGTGTGACTGATCCATTCCCAATTTCTACGGCCTATTTTGTTGATACCTTGCCACTGGCTTATTCTTTCAAGGCACTTGATCTTCCATATAGATGGAATGCAGTTCAGAATATATTTGTTGACGCGCCAAATGTCTGTTTGAATCATACAGAAGAACTGACTTGATAGTACTCCATTATGGATAAAAAGTTTTATTTTGATAAATTCACTTAGTGTTA